CGCCATGGCAACGCGAGGCGGCGCCCCCCCTTTTTTCCCCGAACTACAGCCCCCGGCATGCACTGCGCGCGCCGCCGCCCCTCAGCCAATCGAGAGCCGGGCGGTGATAGCGCTGACCAGTAGCGCTCGGGGGGGGCGGGCCAGTGAGGGCGTCGTGACCCGGATGTGGTTGCTGCGTGGACCCGGGCAACCCGTGGGCGTCCATGGAAGCAGCGGCGCGGCGGGGCCCGGCCCGATGAGCGCCCGTCGGGACCGAGCGAAGGGTGAGAATGACAGCCGGGTGCGGGGCGGGCCTCGGCCTGCTGAGCCCTCCTACAGCTCGAATGCTTCCGTCTGCTCGTAAAAGATTCCTTCTCGGGCTAGCTTTGCGTGACTCTGCCTCCGGGCCGCTACGGCTGCACGAACGCGTTGATTATCCGCGTGTGTGGGCGGGGGAGCGGAGAGGAGGAATAAGAGCGGGTAGGCTGATCCTGACGGCTGTGTCTGGAGCTGCCCGGATGAATTGCTGCCTTTCGGCCTCACTCTGCGACAGGGCTGTGAGCGTGGGTTGAACGGAGGGCACTGGAGGCTCAGCTGTTGGCTGGGACCGTTCGTGTGCCCGAGTGAGTGCTGCGATCTGCTGAGCTCGTGGTGATGAGCTCTGAAGGAGCACGGCCTCAAATCTGTGTCTGTGGAGTTTAAGTTACATACTGAAATAATTCTCTAGAGGTTAGAGATGGGACATGGTAAATTAAGATCTGCTTTTAGCTTCCAAAATGCCCCCTGGGAACATGGGAAAGGCCAATTGGGTTGCTGAGAGAAGCTGGCTCGTCCCTAGGCAGAGCAGATTCAGGCCAGGGATTTCTCAAAAAGCAGTTCTGCGGTCTGGGAAAACTCTTTCTTCTTACCATCTCTTATTTCAGCCTTCCCTTATCTGTCTAAAAAGTGCCCAAAGCCAGGGCTCGTTTTCTCTGTAGGTGCTGGAAAGCCTGGGGGACTCAAACCTCTCTGTCAGCATCAGCCTCAGGTCTTTGATCAGTGTTCCAGTGGGGGAGTGCTGTGAGCAGGGCAGAGCTGTGCCTGCCTCGTCTTCCTGTCCTTAGCTGATAGTGTTGTGACCAACTGTGTATCTTCTTCCCCCTTGGCACTGAGGTGAGGGTTTTCAGTTTCTGGCTGCCTTACTGCTTTGTTCTCAGTCTGCATCCATGCTTGGTGACCCCCAGCGCACCTTGTTCTCCTCCACAGTTCCAGTGCTGAGTTTCCTGTGAGGCACTGCCATGCACTGTGTGATGGGAAGTTTTGTTTCCGTCTGGCTGCAGTTGCTCCATGTGATTTTTGTGTCGTTTTCTTCCTGCTGCCAGGTGCAGGGAGCTATGGAAGGAGGTGTCGTACGCATTGGTGACCAGATCATACTGGAAGAAGATTATGATGAGACATATGTTCCCAGTGAGCAAGGTAATAGATGCTCATCCTCCTAGGAGCTGCAATAAGCAATTCAAGCTTGCTATGTTACTTCAAGGAGTGTTAAGTAAATGGGAACTGGGGAGAGCATGATTCAGGAGAGTGGATAAAAGGAGATGTCGTGTAGAGTTGAAAAGCCAGCTTTTTGATTGCAAGGGTATTTGCCATCTTGCAGTCTGAAGCTCTCTGCTTCACCAGCCAGGGAAGACATGTTGATACGTTTGCTGACACACAGACCTGTTTGGGTGGTTTTGAGTGGTGGGATTTCCATTGTGTCCATTGCTTTAGCTGTGGAAGCTGGCTTTGTGTACTGCTTGGTGTAGACCATCTCTACAGATTCCTGTTTTGTTTCCCTAGAAATCCTGGATTTTGCGAGAGACATCGGCATTGACCCAAAGGAGGAGCCTGAGCTGATGTGGCTGGCCAGGGAAGGAATTGTGGCCCCATTACCACCCCAGTGGAAGCCCTGGTGAGAGAACCCTCTCAGAAGCTGGTTTATAAGATTGCTGGTCTCTGCTGGCCTTCTCTGCTTGTGTTTATGATTGTCAGAGCAGGGTATCAGCTGGCAAGGGGAAAAAATATACACAGGTACTTCTGGGTTCTTTTGGGGGCAGTTGAGGAAGAGGGAAAAAGGTTTCACAAGTTGAATGAAGATGTGACCATTCTCAAGGAGGGCTTTTTCACCACACTGAAGCCTCTGGGTTCTTGGAGGCCTTGTATTGCTGTTCACTGAATGTGAGGTGATCGTGTGGTGCATATTTTTAGAGCCTTTGAAAGCCCTTGAATGAGACCATGTCTGTGCAGAGCTAAAGTTGCTGTTGTGTTCTCTCACTGTTTTTGCCACACAGCCAGGATGTCACTGGTGAGATTTACTATTTCAACTTCAACAACGGCCAGTCCACGTGGGACCACCCCTGTGATGACTATTACAGAGCGCTGGTCGCTCAGGAACGGAGGAAGCTGCTGGCACATGGCAGCTTGAAAAAGAAAGAAAAGAAGAAGAAAGACAAAAAAGATAAGAAAGACAAGAAGGATAAGCAGTCACCGAAGCAGCACACTGTAAGTAGGCTCTGCTGCACGCAGTGATTCTGGGGAGGAGCAAGAAGGCTGGCTGAGGATGAGTGGCTGTGGATTAGGGGTTATGTTGTACTGTTGCTGCTTTGGGATGGAAAGAGCAATCACTTGACTGGGGATCCCGTCAGGCTATGAGTCTGATGAAAATCCAAGGGAAATGGGATCACACACCCAGAGGTGCACATTAAAGGTGCACACCTTTAGTGGCTCTTTCACAGCCCTGTGATGCTATTGGTGAAAAGCACCTGGGCCAAGGTGGCTGGTTCTGTGGATACTGGCCATTCTGAAGGAAAAGTAAAAAAAGTAACCACGTTAAGCTCTGGACCTGAGTTTGTTGCTTTATGACATACTTTCATTAGGGCAGAGAACATTTATTTATTTTGCATTTTGTGGAGAGAGGGAGGGAAACTGGACAACACTTCGTGTGCTGAGGGATTTTCTGGATTTGCTTTTGGAGAAGACAGTAGAGGGTATCTGTGCTTGTTGCTGTAGTATCCACACACGGGATGCAGGTAGGCTGGTCACTATGCTTTTTGTAGCTGGAAGCATAGCCAAATGCCCTTTAGAATTCTAAGTGATGGAATTAATTCCTGCCTTCCTTCCATTAGCCTGTAAAGAGCTAAATATCAGTGGGGAAAGAGAGTTTTGTGTTGCCACTAAAAGCACAGGCATCTTTAACCTCAAGCCTTTAATATGATTATCTTTCTTTTATACACCTACAGATCACTTCAAGTGCTCTAAAAATTTGCACACCAATTTATATACGTGACACATTTATTAGATATAAATCTGTACTTTAAGTAAGATAAGTTTGTATGTGTATATATATATATATATGTAGTTATGTGATATGTGTCAGTTATGTGCTAATATTTATCTAGTTAGGAAATGCAGTGAGGGATTCTTCTTTCAACATCCTTTTGTCATGTACCCTGTGCTGTTCTGTCCCCTGGGCAGGAGAATCCTGGGCCAGAACCAGATAGCCAGATTAGAAATGAAGGCAGAGGGAGTCCGTCACACATAAATGATTCGTGGAGACAATTTGCAGGCATGGGGCCAAACAAACTGCATCCCACACTTGTATCAGCATTCAACAGGCCACGCCAAACCTTAACTGATGTGAAAACTGTAGGAAGTGGCCCACCTTTCAGCAGCTTTGATGTATACATCCACCAGGGCCAAGATGTACCTTTGGAAGTACGAGAAAATGTTCTTTTTAACTCCGTTGGGGCTATGAAGAGAAATCCGATTTTATTGCAAGCTAGAGAAGGAAGAAGGAGCCATGACATGACTCTCTTTGATTCCAGTCCCATGGGTGACTGGAATTTGCAGGAGTTGGTTGATGCTTCATATGTTCAAAAGCAGCTAAGGTTTCACAGCAGAGTGTCTCAGAGTAGAAGTAAGAGAGAAGTTCAGGATGAGGCTTTGGGTCAAGCTGTCATTCTTTGCACGAATGATGAGAGCATCAGCAGACCTAGGAGACAGGATTCAAAGCAAATGGAGCCAGTGGAACTAGGAGCAGATATAAAAGCAGACGATGTCAGTGGTGTACCAGAGAACCCATCCAGAGTTCCTCAAGAGATCATGGGTGTGCAACCCTGCTTGCAAGGAATAGATGCAAAGGGGGGAATTAATGTGTACCATCGTACATCAAAATGTGTTTCTCCATCTGTCAAAGATGGCTGTGGAGAAGATGGAGAAAGAGGTGATTCGATATCAGAATGTGACAGCAGTGACTGGGACAGTGCTCGTAGTGTTGATACACCCCAGATACTGGGAGTGAGCCATCAGTTCTCCTCTCCACACCGTGAGTCTGGAAGCCCAAAGGACCTGCACTTTTTCATAGAGGAGCCTATGCTGCCTTGTGCCTTCCTGACATCACCCATGTCTCAGATACGCAGTCCTGCCCAAAAATCAGAGAGGGAACGTAGCTCCAAGAGTATGAAATTGTTCCACGTGCTGCAGGAACATGAAGAAAGTGCCAGCTTAGAACCTGAATGTGTTAGGTTTGTGGTGGATTCCTGTGAGCAACTCACTGTTCAGGATTCTGATGGTGCTGCTGAAGGACAGAAAGAAATGAAGAAAGGAAATGGAAGGACAGATCAGGATCCCAGAGTGTGGGAGGATGGAGGCACAAAAGACTCGTGTGCTCCTCCTGAGTGTCTCTATCAGATGGCTGACTGCCAAGGAAGCAACAGTCCCTGTCAGCACACAGAAGTGTGGGTGACCCAGACCAGAAAAACTGCTGAGAATTACAGCGAAATAGAGGTTGGTGAAGGAACAGGTGAAAATAAGGTAGGACTTTGTCCTTTGTGATGGCACTTCTGTCACGAATCTTGAGAATTGAGATTGAAACCACACGTTGTAGCTAACCTTCAGGAGCAAAGGGAGAAGGCATCCTGTTAGAAGTTATATAAGGAAGTGTGACAAACTGCAAAATTTCCTCTCACATTAGTCTTACGTTAGGGAGGTGTCTTCTAAAAGAAATAAAGGGGTTATTGGCAGGGAATGCCAAAGGATGCAGCATTCCATACAAAATAGTCCTTAATTTTGGCTCTAAGATCCTTCATAGTAAGCACAGAAGTCAGTCTTTTCCCTCTAAAACCCACAGTCTGAATTGAGGGTGAAATAAGATTTTTTGAGGCTAAGAAGGCCCAGGGTGAATGTGTTGGTTAAGCTGTAAGGCAAAGCCATGTACAAGTCTAGTATGTGGACAAATGGACTCTCTTCCCTCTTAAATGAGAAAAATAGGAAAACATTTGAATTCTCTTTCCTTAAATAGTAGCATTGCTTCCATTGGTTCCAGATTGTTGTTTTTCAGGCAGTATGACTTAACACACTCTGGTCCTTGGATCAGTGTGGCAGTGGTCTTAGGACACCAAGAAGGTTTACAGGTGTGATGGGGCCCTCTGTAAATGTAACTTTCTTCTTCCTCTTTGAATACCAAACACCCCAAAAAAGCTGCTAGAAAAGCATTGCTCTGTGAACCTGGCACTCAGCTTGCAGCAGTGGGAGAAAGTGGAGAAGTGGGAAGTAGAAAGGGTAGGTGCTGCTCTCTGTCACTGTCTATCAGTGCTATGGAATATGTCCTGCAGCCTTCAACTCATAGAGCCCCCCTTTCCCTGGGAGGAACATTTCAGGTTGTCTTTGTCCTTAAGTAATTGCCTCAATTTAATAAGAACTGAGCAAATCTCTTGTTCTGAAAACAAAGCAAAACGTGCCCCGGAACTAAAAAGTCACTGTGTGTAGTGGCAATGAGTTGCTTTGCTGTAGTACTGCAGGTACCCAGCTGTGCCTCCACCAAATTGCTAGCTCAGATTTCTAATTAACAGCGTGTGGTAGTGCTCAGCTGATAATAACTATACCTATAAATATCAGATGAACTGCAGATTATCCAAGAAGTTTTAATTAGCCCACTGGAAGTGAGTTTATCTTTGCTGAAGGACAACTAGTGTCTAGTGCTCCACATGCATAGTTAATGGCCATCTGCAGAAAATAATTAGGTAAGCCCAGAATACATTATTTGTACTGTTAGCATTGATGTGGCACTGAGTTGGTGGAAGAAGGATCAGTATGCATTCATCTCCTTCTCCCTGTCCCTCAGTGTGCAAGTGAATTAACTCTGTTTTCAGTCTGTAATTTTGTATAAACACTGAGTACCAGGACTGTGATTTATGAATAAGCATGTGCTCTGCTGAAGCAACAGCACTTGGCCGTACTGGCATGCTGTAGAGAAAACCCTAGAGTACACTTGCTTCTAATTTAACTGGTGCAGTGTATCAAAGGTGAGACTTCTTGGGCAGTGAATTCCACAGAGTAAAACTGAACAGTCGCGTTTCTCAGTGGAAATAACTTGAGATGTCAAGCTTGCATTGTTCAGAGGTGAGGATGTTGGGTGGTTCCCAGGGCTCTTGATGTGCTTTGAAGGGTAAAGATATATTCAGGAGCTTCTTACTGATGTGCTGCAGCAGAACTCCTTTCCACTTTCAGTACTGCTGAAAAAGTACAGTGGTGTAAGGCAAGGAAGCAGCCTGGATTTGCGTCTAGAGATGCTAATTGCAGCTTGTGGAAAGTAAGAGACTTTCTTGGCTGCTGGATTCTCCTTCACTTGTTTCACGCTGTGCTGAGGAGCAGAGCAGAGCGAGGAGGGAAGCTACCCAATGTGCATAGGGTGTTGTGCTGGTAAGAGCCTTCCTCAGAGGGTGCTGTGCTCAGTGCATGTGGGTGTGTGAGTTAGCCTGACTGCTGGTAAGCTCTTGCTCCCATCTTGCAGTAATGGTCATTTGTTTTCTGGATCACCTTGCTGCTGTAAACTCGGTAACTGTATCCAGATGGGTCTTCAGGAGTTGAAACGGATGGGTAAATCAATCTGCTGTTTCCTACACACGTCATTTGCTGGTAATTGTTTGGTGTTAGCTCACAAGAACAACTTCTTGATGGTAGGTTCAATGCTAGCCAACGGTGTTTGCATTGAGGAATGCCTTCTGAAGCAAGTGTGAGCTGTGAACTCGTGTTCTTCTCTCCCATCCTCTAGCCTTCAGGCACCCTGCCAGCACCTGTGCAGGTGCCCCTGGGGAACCTTGCTCCTCTGCGTGGCCCTGTGGCTTCTCCAGCTGGCGTCCTGCGTGCCTCACTGCACTCAGACATGGGGAGCTCTGTGGATGCTGGTGTTGCAGACAGAGAGGAAGCTCAGGTAAGATTGTTTTCTCTGGGAGCATGCCCAGAGAAGCAGTCTATGCAAGAGGTCACAGGTTTGGTGTTACTTAAACATTTCAAAGACAGTGTTTGTGACCTGTCCTCTGTTTTAAAATGCTTTGGACTGAAACACTTTTACTATTCCACTATGTTTTTTTTTGTCTTTTGCTGTTTCTAGGGGGTTCAGTAATAAATTTTATTTCTTTAGCAGCTTGAAAGGCAGAATATTTTCAATAGTTGAAAAACTGTTGATTTGAAGTGAACTTTGATTTCTACCCAAATGGAGCATGATATACTGTACAGGTAGTGTAAGCTAATAAATAACATTCCTTTAATAAAAGTGATACAAGCAAAACATCTGGCACAGTCTTGACTGAATCTGTGTTCTGAGGCAGAGATAGATTTTTGCAGGTGTGCTTCTTTTGGATGGGAGCCTCTTTTTTTGTGAAACTTCACAAGAAATGTCATCTCCTAGCTGGATATGGCTCTATAAGGGTAGCAGCATCATCCTGAGCAAGTTCTCAGAGTTCAAAAACTTCCTTTCTATTGCCTGTTTTGGTGGGTTCGTACCTCCCCTGATACTTTGCCTCTCCTCTGATTTCCCTTCCTTTTTAACTTCACAATCTGTAAGCCCACTAGTGAGACCAAGGAATTGATTTGTGAAGAGTTCTTTAAACACAATGGCTGTAGATGAAGGGAGAAGTGAAGAGGAAGTGAGAGTGAGGTAGCTGACGTGTATTGGCTCCTCATATATGTCAGTAACCACAGTGCTTGAAGCCTCAAGGAGTGGAAAACGGTGATGCTACTCCAGTAATGGCTGATAGACTGTGGTGATTCAGTTTGACTTCAGGCTTCAATTTGCACTGCACTTCCTATGTGTATCTCTCAGTTGCCAGAAAGTGTCTACTCTTGTTTTGTACTCTGTAAATCCACATCTGCCTCCTGTATTTCCAGAATGTAGGCTTATTGCTGTGGTACGTTTCTCTGGCTCTGCTCCCTTATTTCCATGAATTACGGGCCCTCAAGTTCCTTCTGCACAGCCTATGGCATTGCAGAGATCAGAACTCAGTTTTGGCCGTTTCCTTTTTTGAATACATCTAGAGTCTCCATAGGACAACCGGACTCTTCAAAAACCTGCACATGGATCTCAGTGCCCTGGGATGCAGCTTTGAATCTGAGGTAAGAAAGGCACGATCAAACAGGTAACGTAGAACTACCCAAATAGAAGAGGAGCTATGGCACTGCACTGCCTGCGTGTGGGCTGCAGGAGGGAGAGCCCAGGAGCTGTACCCTAAGAGCTGTTTGTAATTCATGAGAAATAACAACCTACAGCAGGGCTGGGAGGGCAGCATATATGAGAAGCCAGATACCCACATCACTGCCCCTCTACAGAGAGTATCAGAAGGTAGATTTGTCCTTGAAGGAGAGTGCTTTCCAATCTGATAGATGGCATTTGATTTGACAGCACCTGAGCGTGAGGTGGAGCTTGAATTCCTGATGAGTGAATAAAGAGAAACTTAAAGCAACATAGGTGCGATGGGCAAGGCAGAAGTCATTTCTTTCAAGAAATGACAGAAAGAAGAGAGTCTCAGATCTGAGTGGTGCCATTGCTGATGCTGTGGGAGGAAGGGTTGATGAGGAAGAGGCATGGTTTGTTTCCTCATTGTTTTTTTTTCTGTCAGTGCAGAAGGAAGGCTTATTCTCAGCAGAAATTGCAGCGTTGTCATTTGGAGAGTGGAGGGGGAATTTGGTCTGGAGACACCATCCTCACATTGTTCATTTCCATAAGAATCTCTTAGGAACTTCATGGTGGACTGGATACGGCAGCTTTTTCTGTGTGTGGCAACATAAAACTCATTTTGTATCTTGCACTGCTGATGAATTACTCTCAGACTCTCAGCATCAGCAATGAGTTCAGTACACGCGTTGCCTTGTGCGGACATTTTGCTTTCCCTGCGGGTGTGCATTCTTTGCCAGCACTTTCTTAGCAGTGATCAGGCTTAAGATGACAAAGGGACAATGTGAAGTGCGTTGCAAGCAGCTCTAGTGATTCAGTCTGTCTGTGCTGACGTTAATCCTTTCTTAGCACTTTGAAAATTCTGTTCCAGCAATTGAAAGGCAAATTAATTTCTGTTAAAACATTTTTACTATTTCCCTCATCCTTTTCACAGCGTACAGAAAATTAAGCTGTAAACTCATTTGGAGAACTCATTCATAGAGCTGGACAGGAACTGCAAATGTTTGTAATAAAGTGGATGCAAAAAAAACCACCCAAAAAAACAGAACAAAAAGACTTCGACCCTCTCATCTCCAAACAAGAAGCCTGTCAGAGCCCAATTCGTCACTGAAATGTTAATGTGTCCAGGAGCAAAGGGTTGTCTTGGCATTTCAGTGACATGGCAAGGCTTCAGGAATCTATTATAAAATGGCAATTGCTGCCCAACAGCCAGGCTGTGTCTCAATAGCTAGTAACTCAGATTGGTGATATCTCAGCCCTGATAAAATATTAGTGCCCCATGGAAAATATAATTCACTCGTCACTCCATGAGAGGGCAGTAGAAAAACGTTCCTATGAGTGAGCTCTTATCCTGCATCCCATCTCTCCAGCTTTGTTCCAAAATGGAGAGAAGGAAAGAATTCATAAATCAAGCTCTGTGGGAGGTGAATCTAGGAAGTGATGGGGTGAAAACAGCTGGTTTCATGAAATCTGTGGATCAGGGCTGAATATTCATGTTTAAAGAAAAGAAATGTGAGAGTGTGGTGATGTGCTGAGGTTCAAGGATCCTCCTGAAAGGGACGAGAAGAGGAAAAGACCTGGAGGCACCTCTGGGTGCCTGGATTGAGGGTCCCATGACAGCAGGAGTAATCCACAGGCTGCTGTGCTTGCAGTTTGGGAAGCCTTATTGCTTTGCCTTCTGTACAGGTCAATCTCTGGGTAAACAATTGGAGTCAAGGGGGACCTTTATCTGATGGGGGATTAACATGCAAAGCTCTCTTAGCAGATGGAGATGTGTGAAAGGGAGCTCTCTCTGTAAATAAACATTATGCAATACAGTGTACATGTTATTGCAGAGATGTATACACAGGCAGCAGTGTTCCAAGGATATTAAACACAATGTATACACAAGCAGCTAGTTCCAAGGATATTAAAACATCCATAAAATATCAGTGCCTCGATGGCTGGTTGAAGGGGAGGGATGACAGATGTGTCACAGCCTTGCTCCTTCACATCCTGAGGAAGCATAAAGCAGAGCTGCTCTGCTCATTCATACTCAGGCCCTCACAGGCAGAGGACCCCAACAGCTCAGAAGGGTGCTGTGTGAGTATTGGCTAGCAGATGTTACCCCATTCACTAGGATAACAGCAAAGCAGAGGAGGAGAACTATGGCGGTCACCTGGCTGATGTCACTGAAGCTCATCTCCAGGACCAGAGGAGTCCCATGGAGGAAGCTGGCAGTCTGAGAGAGGTGATGAGTGGCTCTGACATTGCAGCCCTGCTTGCATGATGTCGCAGAGCTTTGCTTGCTGCTTCCAGTGTTGTGGTGTGGATCTGATTGTTGCTTAGCTTGTTTCTTTTGCTGCTTGAAGTATTATGTGTATGGAAAGAGGTGTAGACTTAAGAGCAAATGCTTTCCAGATGCTGCCAGACCTACCCCACTCTGTTCTTCTCTGCCTGGGACCAACCTGAAATCAGGAAGCAAAAGGGGAGCATGTTCAGCCTGCAGAGCAATTCTCTATGCAGTATGAGGTGGCTTGTTTTCTTCCCTCTCTTTTAAAGATAGGATTGTGAAGGGTTTTGTTGTAATCTCTCATGTTCAAGCTGTTAAAATCCAAAGTGGCATAGTCATCCTGTTTTGGGAGATGAATAAGATGCAGTTTTGTTGGCTGCTGTCTGCACTGATTTTTCATCCCTGGTTTGGATGCTTTTCCAAAAACCTGATCCCACTGGTATCAGTGTGGGTTGCTGGTTTTTTTTTTCCTGTTTATTTTCCTCCAGTTATGCTGATCAGTAGGAAGTCTGGAGATAATGTGTTTGATAGGCAGAAATTCCATGTTGGTGTCACACAGCTGCAGGTGAAATGTGTTACAGCTTGTGAGAAGATCAGCTAAAGCCAATTATAATCTGGATGGCTCTTCCTAGCCCCAAAATCTGTAGCAACTTCATGGTCTCTTTTTTACACAGGGAAAACCTTCCTTCTCTTCCACCTGTGTGTCTGAGTGTCACAGTTCCCTATTCTGGAGAGCTACACTTGTCATCATTAAGGTGTAGCATTAACAAAAATCTTCTGTATCTGTCCTTAAAATAGGATTCTACCAGGTAAAGAAATTATTCTGGGGTGTTCCAGTAGCTGAGGTAAATTTTACTGGAGAGAGGTCTTTGTGTGTGCAGTGTATCAATGGATACATCTGTATGTTGTTGTATGTGCTCCCCAAAGGGAAAGGTCTGTTTATGGTTTACAAGCCTAAGAATCCTGGTTGGTCTCATCTGGCACATCTTTTCTTGGACATTATCAGATGTCCTGGGGAAAGGCTCTCATGAAAACTGCAAACCAAATCTGGCCAAACAGAACCACATTTAGGGACTCGTCCCAGGTGCTCTTATCCCCAGATAAAAGGAAGCATCGTGAAGATGGGTCCCCTGGAAGATCACTAAAGGAATGGCACCACCACGTACATTTTTCTGGGTTCTGGCACAGAGATGTTAGCCAGGCCTTTGAAGAGCCTCCTGTGGCTGGCTAGTGATTCAGTGGTGTTTGTGAACCTCTGCTAACCAGGCACTGAACTGGAAACAGGCCATAAGCTTTCATTTATTACTTGGCAGATTGCAGGTGAGGCTCTGAACTGTAGTTTTTTTGGAAAGTACCCAGTGATTTGATTTCTCTGTCCTCCCCTCTGCTCTGATTGATGACTCTCTCAGCCCTGAGAAGGTCTCTCAGACAAATGATGTGCCCAAGACAGCCTTCCAGTTTGCCGCAGCTCCGTGTTCAGAACTGACAGCATTCCAGTTGCACTTTGATAAAAATACATCGTTAAAATATGCAGTCTGTATGGTACACGCTGTACTCAGGATGCAGCTAATGTTTGACAAGATACCACAGCATTAATAAACAGCGAGAAAGTAGGAAGTGCAAGCAGTTTTGTTTGCATACCGGCGAGGGAACCTTTTCCTGCTTCCTCCTGGCTGTCACGCTATTTGTTGTGAGTTCTGTGGGCCTCCCCACCTCTGGGAGATGCAGCTGAACCTTTGGGTGACTGAGTTCTTGCTTGGGATTGTTCTTCCCAAGGCCAGTGGGAGAAACACATTTCTTTGTCTAATATCTTAGTTGAGATTTGAACCAAACTGGGACTAGAGTGGCTGCTTAAATCAGTGCCTGCACTCGGCTCGTCCCACTGGGAAGCATGGAGGCTGCATCCTGCCTGCCCTTCTCTAGTTATTTTGTGCTAAATTTCTTGCAAACTTCCACTTGTGAGACAGATTCAATATAAAAGCTTTCTGCAGAGCTCTTGGGTCTGATGGTCCCTACAGCAGCCACTGCTCACTCTTAGCTACTCGTGATTACAAAAGCAGTGGGGTAATCTCAGCCTCAGGAAATGAATGAGTTCATCTTAGTGTTCTTTTCATTTGAAAGAGCCTGTATGAAAATAAAACCAAGCTGGTCTTGCTGAAGTCACCCAAAGCTTTGTGATTTTTTTGATTTTTTTTTATTTTTTTTTGCTTGCTGTAGAAGAACCCAGTGTTGTTTTCTGGTGTTGTTACTGGTTGATGCTGGTGTTGTTTTCACCCAGTATCCTCCCAGAGAGAGAGTAAAGAATGTTATAGCTGTAACTGTGTTTGACTTGCTGCCTAGAAGGAGTCTTTAAAATCAAGACATGCTGAAGAAGAGTCTTCCTTGGATTCTGGTGACACGTGCCCTCCAACTCCAGTTAAAGCCCTTTCTGGAGATGCTCACTGTAGGCTGTCTGACCAGAACAAAGAGGAATCTGATGAGAAACTCGCTGGGAATGAAGGACTGGGTGAGAAAGCTGCTGAGGTGCAAGGTGACGTCTCTGCAGCTGATGAGCTGCCACAGTCTCTGGAGGAAGGGAAAGCAGCAGGGACAGACGTGCCCAGCAGTCCTGGGCAACCTCGAGCTGCATCTCCAGATGCTGAAGCTGCTGAAGCAGATCAGCTGGCAAGCCTGGCTGTCACCGTTGACACCGTGTCTGTTGATGAAAATATAGTAAATGAAATGAGGGAGGAAGCAGCTGATGTGAAAGCTGACAGCAGGCTGGATGCTGGCAAAGTAAGCGACCTGCCTGCTTGGGTTTGGTTTGGTGTGGAATCTGCTGTGGCTGTTCCCATTGCTTTGTAAGGCCCTGATTCAGGAAAGCATTTGGAGCACTTGCTCATTTTCTGTTTAGTCAGCATAAGTGCTTTCCTAATCAGCAGTGTGTTCCTATGGGGAGGTGGGGGTGGCAATAAGTGCTCTGAATTCCCAGATTGGTTTCTTCAGTACTGAGCTAGGAAATATTCTTCTCTGCATACACGAAGTGCTGTCCAAAGCAACTGACAGGCAAAAACCCTGGACTGTGACGCATGTTTCAAGTCTTAGAGGAGAAATAAGTCTCAGCTTTCAGTGCTGCCATCTGTACTAAGCAAGCAGGTTTTATAATGAAGTTCACACCAAGCTCAGCTGTCTGTACTGCTTTGTTTCTCTCCTTCTGTTGTTTCTCTCAGCTTATGTAGAGATGGGGCTAAAGTGTAAAGTGAGCTGCCAGCTGTGATGTTTACAGCTCTGCAGGATGCTGAGAGGGAAGCGTGAGGTCAGGGGAAGGGCCATACCTAGGGGCTGGCTCCCGAGCTGCAGCTCGTGCCCAGTACCTTTGTAGTGCTGCCTGGGAGGAGAATTGGCAGCACTGAGCTGCACCAGGGCACTCGATTGTGCAGGCTCTGGCAGGAGATGAACTGCTCTGCATCATGAGGTGCAGGTGGGTTAACAGCCTGGACCTGCAGCCACGATGTCAGATGCACACCTTTCAGTTCACCTGTCTTCCAGAAGCGTTAAAATGAGACCTGAAAAATGATGCCTCTTCAGTCTATTCTCTTCCTGATAATTTTGGTGATTTCTCTGGTGTGTAATGTCTAAGAAATGATAAACCATATGACTGATTCTGGAAAATGTGTGCTTTCCTGAAGAGCTTAAAACGGAAATCTTTGCTTTTATAAATGCTCTCTTTACATGTTTGGTTTGCTGAAGTCAGCCGGACTGCATGGGTGTTAATGTTAAGCAGTTCTGTATTGTTTCACTGTGACTGGGAACATAGGAATCTGCACTGCAAGTAGGGACAGCAAGGTGCTGGATTTTTGAAGTGGTGGAAAAAGCTCTGTTCTGTGTGGCTTCATGATTTACTTGGTGGCCCAACGGCTTCTCAGAGCTGTGATGATCCTTGCAGAAGGAATGAGGCAGTAAGCTAGTGCCCTTGTCAGGGGTATTTGAAGAGCACTTCTTTGCCTTCCTCAGTCCCATCTCCTGTGTGCATCCTCCTTTCCCAGCCCTTTCTCTGTGGCATTCTGTGATTGTCTTGTGAGTTACACCCTTAGTGTCTCCTAACATGTTCGTTCACCTCAGACACTTGCTGTTTTTCTTCCTCACGGTATACAGAGACCAGATCTGTCTTCCAGTTATCATTTGTTGTCTTTTTAGTTGGAAATGCCTAAATGAAGCTGCAGGGCTAACAAATGTACATATCTCCTTTCAGCCTTCCAAAGTATCTGAGAGCAGTGAATGCATGGAGGACTTGCAGGCTTCTAACCACCTCGACCAGGAGCTGATCCAGCATGTGGTGAGTCGCCAGGAGCTCCTTATCCCTTGGCTATGGGCTTTGCATCCCTCTGGGAACACAGCCAGCGTAAGGCTATAGCCATCTCTTGTATCCCTAACTCATGCAGTGACCTTACTGTCTGGCACAGATCACCTGTGTCACCCTCTGCTTAGCTCCCTTTGGTATTCAGGAAGACTCTTGGAATACTGAAGCACACTTGTGCTTAGCAAATTCCTGAGCCAGCACAGGCTGTATTGGATGAAGTGGCTTGACCAAGGACTATCTGTTTGGAGAGCAGTGCTTCAAGAGCCAGCTCTTACTCTGAAAGCCCTCTAGCTCCAGAGATGTGCTTTCAAGTTTGAAGCCAGACCCAAGTCAGGCACTCAGTACGATTTCCAGGTCTGCCTGTGTGGTCCTGTCATGTGTATTGCCCATGGTAGGAGGCTTGTGGTAATTCTGCAGTCAGGTGTGGTGAGAGACTTGTACTGAGCAGGAATTGCAGAAAAGTGCAGGTTCATTCTGAGGGTGAGGTAATAGCTCTGGCAAAGTAGGTCACTCATAGCTGAGACTCCACTTGGATAATTGCAAAGTGGAAAATAATAAGCGATATAAAATCATGCTTTAAGGGATGAAATAGCTTTTTCTAATGGAAATGTGCATGGCTGAGAGTCCTGGCTCCTGAAAGTTCCAGGGGGAGAACATGCAGGAGGATAGCCCTGAGGTGAGGGGTGAAGTGCCCATCAGCATCTCTTCATCTCTGCAGGAAACTGCTGCTGCCATCTGCCAGTGGGAGCGGAGGCAGCATGGCCAGAAAATGGCTGCGAATATCATTATCTATCAGTGTTAGTATGAGCCTGTGTTGGCAAGTGGCTGCTGCATCAAACAATACCTTTTCTAGAGCTTGCTTGTGGGCATGCGTGTGTGCTCTCTCGCACGCTGTGTGTGCAGCCGAGTGTGTGAACCCACAGCCTCTGCCAGTAGGGAGAATTCGGAGCGAGTGGCCCATGGGCAACTTGCAGGAGCTGACTTCAGGAAAAAATATCTCAGAAGATCTGCACCAATACTGGGAATAGAGCAGTAGAGGGTTGGGGCTATAGATGCACTGTATCACCTGTGCCTGCTGTGATCTGTGGCATGGAAGAACGCGTGAGGTGGTGTGGCAAGGCTCACTGCCCTGAGGCAGTTCATGATGCCCTTATGTGGAATTGCAGCTTGCTGGCATTGCAGGGAGTTTCCTTTGGGACCATCAGGGAAGAGAGCTGCAGTGCAGTGCAGTGCCAGGGCCCCACCTGTGATGGTTCACACCGGTAGCTCAGTAACCTCTTACCTGTGTGTGTCCCTATGGGTTGGGAAACAAAACCCAACTTGCTGCTGCCAGGGCCATCTGACTGCGATACAGATGTAATCTGTGCTTGGATGGAGGCCTGAATCTCAGTGTAGCCATCTCCCGTGTCCTATAAACCTTTCTAATTGTAGTGGCTCTGGATATTTGAACCAAATTGCTGTCAGTGGGATGATGAGTGAAGATTCCTAAGCGTGTTCAGATTTTTTTCTAATTTGTCAGGATCTCTCATGGGACGAGTGAACTGATCCTATCCTTTCTTCTTCAGGACTTGGCTTTCCAGAGCCAGTTTTCTGAGCGGGTGTTGGATGTAGATGCTCTGTCTCCTGCTTTAGACAAGTCACTATGCAAGGTAAGTGCTTTATCTATGATTAGGGACCAATCTTGGAATGGGCAGGTTAAAACACTGCACTGTGGCATACTAATAGCAGGATGAAGCTATTGGCATAAAGATTTTGAGGCAGATGGAGCACTGTGACTTCAGGGAATGGATGAGAGCAGCAGTTCTAGCTCAGTGTTGTGTCTGCAGAGATGCAGGGAGTTGCAGCCACTCCTGTGAGGAGAAACTACACATATCATTCTCTTGGGAAGAGCTGGTTTGTGAGTGATGCATGCATGCAAGCTCACAAGTGTGTGCCTTCACTGCCTCCAGTTACATGCATAGATAACTGGCTTTCCTAGGGAGTGCAGGGAAGCAGAGTCTGTTTGGCTTTTTTCCTGTTGTGCGTGTTGGTTCTGCTTAAGAGAAAGAAAAGATGAAGAGAACTTGTGTAACAGAGCATAGTAGCAGAAAATGAAGAAATGGAGGTTACCTTCCACGGACAAAGAAACTTAATTTTAGGCATTTGCTTGCCTTGGCTGCTTTCATGTAGGGGAAACAACAGGATCCTTCCAGTCAGTCTGTGGCATATGAAGGAGTGTACACATGCATGAACACATCTGCTTCCTATATCACGCTGGCCCCATATGTGGCTATGTTATGGCAGTTCTGACTGAGGATTGCTGTGGCTCTTGAGATTTTTATCCTTGTCTTCTCAGCGTGTTGCCAAGTCGTCCTTCTCAGCCCTGCACTCCTATTGAGCTCTCCCAGCTCTCCCTCTCCTGCACCATCTCAGCTCATCAGCGCGTTGGCTGGAGGAGCATGCTGCACAGTGAGGCAGAGGGTCAGGCTCCAGCTGGGGTTTACTCAGCCTTGCTCTGATTGTAAGTGAGTTGATCAGCTGCATTGGAGGAGACCTTGAGTGGCAAACTCACCACCTGTCCAGCAGAGAGGAGCAATCCAGTTTGTTAGGTTGTCTGGAGAATACACCTGTCCTCTTGTGCCTAATAATGAGCATAATCAGATGTGAAGGGAAAACAAAACATATGCCTGCTGTGTTCTCCCCCTTTCCCTCTTGCTACAGCACAGTCATCGTGCATACAAATGTCTTGTTGGAGCAGACACATTTTGAGTTTTTTACAGCCTTGTCTTGAGGAGGGAGAGGTGGATTTGAAATGGTGCCCCCCGCAGAACTGCAGCTGCTCTTTTGTTCAAAAGACAGAGGCTATTTCAAAATGAGACTCCAGAACGTTGGAATGTGATTATTTCCATGTAATGGACTTGCCTTGCTTTGAATATACTGGCAAAATATTTTTTTTTTTTTTTTTTTTTGAATAAAAAAGACCTCTTCAATGGTGCTACATATGCACGACATTGGAGGCTTTTGGTTAGCGTGTTTTGGCAGGAGCTGTGTTAGATTGCAGTGGCAGTGTGGGCTGCTCTCTGCTAGACTTGACTTCTCTGCTGGCAATGGGAAGGTTGCTCCTTTCACCCTTCACTTAGCAGGCATTTAAAGTGCTGGCATCCTCTTTGCTGGCATTGTTACCAAGCTGAGGTTGATGGTGGTGAGGAGCTGGAAGCAGGCATGGCATTGGAGCTGTCACGTGCTGGAGACCATAGATATCCTCCTCTCAAGGCCTCTTGGGGACTATGCTGTACGAAGAGGAGACAGCCTATTATCTGTCATCCTGGCTTTGTATTGTGAGCGTGAGATCTTTCCTGGGGGACTCAGCCTGGTGTCGAGCAGGACAGAAGACCAAGCTGCCAGCAGTACTCAGTGCTTCGCAGGGTCTGCTGGGGGTCCTGGAACAACAAGAGGGTTAAGGCCCTGGGAACTTCACAGGCAGGGCTTAAAATCCAGCCCTTCTTCCCTGTGGGCACAAGCTCTATTCGCCTTTCCAGATACGTCTGCATATTCCTACAGGGATTTCTGGGGAGATATGTTGGGCAGGAATGCAGAGGAGGTCCCAGACATGGGCTCAGCAGTGTAACCTGTAACTCACCATCTTTATTGCCCAGAAGACCTCGTTCTTTGTTTTTCTGGCTTCTTTCCTCGCACAGGCAGCAGTGACAGAGCCTGTTTTGAGCCAGGTGATGTTTTCTGGGCTCCTCAGTTCTCAGGAATTGAAGTCATTATTTAGGCTGGAGAGGTGGGGAGCTGCTGGGAGAGTTCTGACCAGGCTGATGTGATGGAAGGTGACAGCACTTGCAGGGAATCCTTCCGCTGTTTGCTCTGCTGAACATTTGCATAAATTACTGCTGTTTTAATTGTGTTATTTTGGCCCTGCTCCCTATTACATTCCTGCATGGCAAGGTCTGAGCTCACCTGCCATGTGTGGTCCCTGGAATTTCTGGATGGGCTCTGGGGACCCATATGTAGCATCCAGAAACCTCATCAGGCAGGATGGGCTGTTGGTTCTTTCTCATGTAGGACTGAGGGTTTGAAGAGGGGGCCTGTTTCCCCTTGCTTGGGTGAATTACACAAGTGTGTGTGTGTGTGTCTGTCTGTCTGTCCTTGCTGGAGGGACAGAGGTACCTGGTAGATGGCAGGTGGGAATAAGAACAGCTAATTATTTTATATTGAAAAATTTGTTATTTTAAGTATTTCCTACTTCATAAATAAGCTACCTGAAGTCACTCTGAGCCTGTTATTGAGGGACCAGTTTAGTCAGCAGCATCCAGACTGATCTGTTCTGGAGATAGTGGTCGGAAGTCTCTGGGTAGGTGTGACTATATCGTATGGTGCCCATTGTGGTCTGTTTGGGAACCAGGATTCAAGGCAGAACTATTGTAATTCTGGTCACAATCGGTGCATCAGTTTTCTTTATGGCCACAGTACATTATTTCATGTTTGTATATGTGACATTCCTGCTTTAAAAGATTTGTCCTGCATTATTCAGACAGTTTATGGTTACTTGGATATGTAAGATGACCTCTGGGGGGGAATAAACAACCAAAGCTGATGTTGAGAGTGCTGTGTGCTGGCAGAGTTCATCTTCTGTACTGAAAAAAACAACCCTGAGACCAATAATAGTAACACAACCTGGAGAGCTGAGCTTCCTGATGTCTCTGTGCTGATGGAGCCATTCCTCCATGTGTTCCCATGGTATCTCAGGACCTTGGTTACATGCAAGAGAGGAAATTAACGCGTTCAGCTGGGCATTCTGGAATGCCCTGTGGATGCACTTTAGTCCCAGGGCTTGGTGCTGGTATGTTAGACCAGAGTGCTCCTGCTTTTTGGTGGAGCCACGTAAGTTCTGGGAGGCTTTGATGGCAAAGGAGCCAGCAAACTCCACACTGTTTGCTTTTACCTGCAGGCCCAGGAGCTGGGAGAAGAGGAAAAAGACCAAAGCAAAGCCAGTATAGATGAAGAGCAAAGCAAAAGAACAAAAGCTGCTGTGAGGTATGGTACAAACAGAACTAGAAAGGAGGCACAGACAGCTCTAGCTCCAAGTGACTTTCCTGTCTCATCTGTCCCTGCTGTGCTCAGGTCACTGTAACCTGTACAAGAGTTCCCTGCAGAGCACTCTTGAGTTCCTGCAGTGTCTCACACAGTCTCTTCCATTCAATCTTTCTTTTCTCCCACCACCCCTTTAGTATCACCTCAGCAGATTTTAGCATTGTTTCAGCTTCTGGCTGGGAAGACAGCAAAACTGCCTGCCTTGCCCTCCTCATGACTACTCTGAGATGTGGAGCTGGCTTTTCCATTTCCTTTATAGCTACATGGCTTTTATCTAAGGCTGTGAAAGTCACTCTCTTGCCATGATGGTCTGTTTTCTCATTATGTTATGCCTTGTGGTATTTAACACAGGTGAATTGAGCCCTAGCCATTGCCTGATAACAAACATTGCAGGTTTTGGGGCCAGTCAGTGCTGGTTTGGCAGGAGAGTTTAGCTCCAAAGTGAACAGTTCCACTTCCTTCCTTAGAGGAGTCTTAAAGCCACTTGGCTTCTGTTTGGCCAAGCACAAATGCTAAGCTGTTTTGTTATCCTGCTTTGTGGACATCTCTATAACGCAACAGCTGTAACCCCAGGAGCAACACAGGTTTCCCCAACCTTTAGTTGCTATGAGGATTAGACTGTCTAGGGGAGGTATTTTCCCCCGTTTGTGGAAACTTGTTTAAAGCAGCTGTAATGTTGTGCTGAGCAGAGGGCTCTGTGGTCTCTAGAGCATCCTGCTCTGCCTTTGAGAGTTGCAACATGTGGCGTTTATAGATGAATTGTGTCAAAACTCTTAGCCTCCACACAGAGCTACACAGCATTCTGGGGCACAGGGAACGAAGAAGCTGTTGCTTATGCCAGGAAAACCTGTGAACGGAAGAAGCTGCAGTCCATCTTAATGGCTGGCTGTGTGCAATTGGGATTCACAGCTTTGTGCTTGGAGGAGCTGTTCACATGAAGGTCCCTAAAAATGTGTTCTGCCCAAGGAATTCTCTTTATCACTTAGTACCTGCTTCCCAGCTATGAATCCTCCCCACTCACTCTGCCTGTACAGCTACGTTGTGCTTGCTTAATCTCTCTTCTCTGTGCTTCCAAGATGAAGTAGAACCACAGATGTAAACATGCCTGCCAATGTATTTCCATCTCTAATTTAGACTACAATATGAGTGTTACTAATAGGGCTGATTTATCTTGGGGAAATTCTGTAAGGACTTGCAAAGAGAGGGAGGTAATCCGGCAAAGATATTCGACGTTTTGAGGTTGACAGACAAATTACACCCTCAGCTGCCTGTTAGTCTGGCAGTGCTCGAGGTGGTGTGAATGGTTTGGAGCTTTGTCGGGGCTTTGGCAGCCCCGTATTGGACAAATGAAGCCCCTTGGCAGGCATGAGCTCGTGCTGCAGACTGCCCATCTTGAGTCAGCTGCTCATCCCGTCTTCCCTCTGTCTTTGTCTGCTTGGAGCAGTCACTACAATCTGATCTATGCTAATCTGATATTCTGTTACCTTTTTTGTGCTGCGAAGTGAGAGGGATCAAAGTGGTGGTGAAGCATCAGAACAGAAGTGTGTTGCTTTAGAAAATGCCAATCAAGAGGAGGCTGTGGCCCTGCAGCTGGATGAGGAATTGCCGGATAGCCTAATCGATCTGGAAGAACTTGCAGCCCTGCAAGAAGCGTAAGGGCTTCATTTAAGTCCCTAGTGTTGTATGCATAGCAGTTTTTGTTCTTTCTTTTCTGTTCTCCCCATTATTTGAAGTTACTGTGTGAGGCTGGCACGCTAGGAGATGCAGTTTGGTGGGCACAGCAGAGCTTGAGAGCATCTCAGCATGCAAATCCAAGCAGCTGTTCTCCTGGCAAGAGTGCCAAGGTAACAATCTGTCCTGCGGAGGGTGAGAACAGCAGCTCAGCCCTTGGGGTCTGTGGCACAGGACTCTGTGGTATGGAAAAAGATCTGTTTACTTTGTACTTGGAAAAGCCTCCTTACCAGCATCACTAATGAGGCTAAGCATTTACACACCTAATATAAACAGTTTTCCACAGCAGTTTGCTTGCTGAGCAGTACTGAGATTGGAAGGAGGGAGGGGAAAAAAAATCCTCTCACTTTTAGAGTCCCTGGGAATGCTGTTTGGTTTGGGATAACGAGGTCAGAGCAGAAGATGGGAGAACTGAGTTTCTCTGCAAAAGCCAGTGGTCTGTCACAGTAGTAAATTGGTGGAGTTTGCTGATAGGTACCTGCAGTTTCACTGCAATGGAAGTTCCCAGTAGAGGAACATGCTGACTTTGCTTTCTGTGTCAAATGACAGATCAGCAGAAGTAATTGGAAAAAATAGGCAATGCATCTATCAAGACAAAGTGGTGAAGTAGCAATCTTTGGTTTGAAGACAAGTATCTCCTTTTTTTTTATTATTTGAAATTGTGTAAATGTGCATGTGTTGGTTGGGTAGTTATTTAAACAAAGATTTGAGCAGAAAAGAACAGTTTTAGGTGGAAGTACTTGAAGTGCTTCGCAGAGCAGCCTGATAAATGGCACCTCCTGCAGGCATCTGTGCAGTTGGCCCGGAGCATGCAGTGTTACAGGGGAGCAGTAGTGAAACAGGATTTTCCAGGACCCAGCTACCCTTTCCTCTCTCTCTGTTCTTTTGCTAATGGCTGCATGAGTAACCTTTTCTCTCTGACTCAAGGTTATATTACTAGAGCTGCTATTTCCCTGATTCCAGGCAAGACAGAGATCTCTGCCTTATGCTAGCAGTCTCGGGGCATGATGAGAAGACCTTGCTGCTTCAGCTTTCACTAGCACAGAATAAGAATTTTGTCCTTAGACTAATCTTCATTTCTCCCTCTTCCGTTTCAGCCTCTTTCAGACCTTATAATTTTGCTACTCTATGTCTGAAAAAAAAAAATACTTAATTAGAAACAGATTGGTTTTGAATTTTTGGAGAGCTTAGGGCTTTCTGTTGCCTAGGGCTGGCAAACTCCCAGCACACTTTCGATTGCAATTGGAGAAAAATACCTGGTCCATTAGACATACATTGCCAATCCCTGGGTTAGAAGCTGGTGCTGATTGCATCTGCTTTTATGGTCCTAGGCAGGATTTCACAGCTGCTAGATCCTTGGTGAGGTGAGGCTGTGTTTCCCTCACGAGGTGAGCTGTAGCAGGTCCAAATAAGAGCCGTTCAGGACCTAAGTTCTGTTAGGACTATGTTTAATTTATCAGTCAGAGTTTAGAAGTCAATGAGAGTTCCAATCAGTGGTGCCTGGGAACGTCCCCAGGCTGGCTTGAAGCTTGGAGGATCAGCTGTGTGTTCCTCAATGGCCTTGTAAAAATGCTCGCCTGTGTCTGCAGCACAGGAAAGTTCAGGATGTAAGGCTGGAGAGTTTGGCTGGCAAGCAAGGGAATGGATTTGTTTTCCAGGCATGTTGTAGGGAACAGTGACAGCATGAGTTCTGTACCAAGCTTGTCTTCTACCTGTGTGCCCTCCACCTGCCTCCACTGCTGTTCCTCACCTCCTGTGAGCAAAACAGCAAGTGCTCCACAGCAGCAAATAAAAAAAAGAAAACAAGTGGCTGCAATCCAGTGGAGATTCTGCATTTACTTTCCCTTCATGGAGAGGAAAGCTTGTGGAGTAGGAGGCTTTGAGATTTTTGGTTTGGAGGTGATACTGTGTGTGGGAACGCTGCTCGTTCCCTTTGTGTTACTCAGTTCTCTCACCCTTTTGCCAAAGGAGCTTTTTCCTTTTGATAGGCAACCTGAGAAAGAAATAAAACAAGAGCAGTCCTTGACCCAGTCTAGTGAAGAATCCCTGGAGGGAATAGCCAAGGAGCTGGAGAAGGAGGTTGAACAAGACAAAACGCACTCACTGCAAGCAAAGGAGGAGAAAATCCAGCAATTCCAAGAGGAAATGAGGCTACGGGAGGAGGAAGAAACTCAGAAGCTTTATGAGCGAAAAGAAAAATCCCTCAGGTACTCTTTTGTTTTTCCTATTTCTCCTCCTGAGTCTTTCCCAGGTGTGATTCATTGCTGGTGGCAGCAAGTTTGTGCTGTGTTATAGGCCACCGAGAAACAGGAGCTGCTTTGTGGAGCTGTGGGTGAAGGAGGCAAGAATAGAGCTCTTGAGGTGAAAAGGAGCATGGGGCTCCATCCTGACAGTGGCAGTAAGGATCTGCACATCCTGAAATGGGCAGTGGTCTGCTCTCAGTGCTGCCAATGCTCAGAGCAGAGTACAGCCTGCCTGAGGAAAGCTTTCTCCCTCGTAACAGGCAGAGAGCATCTTCCTTGTGTCCTGTCAGAAGAGCTATGATTCGAAACACATGCAGCTCTCATAGAGCTGTGAACTTGTCTCTTATTGTTAACCTGGGAGAAGTTTCTAGTTCACTGCTTGGAGCTTTACCACCTGGCAGACTTTCAAATCTTGGTCTAAGTGGTAGTAATAGGGCTGGAAATTGGGGCATTAGAGAAGATGAGGTTACCCCAGAGGAACTATTTGAAGCTCTGGTACTGCATGTATTACAGGAGGACTTCCAAACAAGACTTTAAGGAATAGGGCATGGATTTCTACGTGTAAAACCCAGCCAATGCAAGAAGATCTAATGGCAACCCAGGGAGCAGAACAACAATAGGAATGGTGTCCTCTGTTCTGGGGGACTTTTCTCTCAAGACTTGTATTATAAACATCAGGGCCACCCCAGATAAGCTCTTAGCAGCACACAGGCAGCCAGAAAAGGTTGCCTTGATATGAAGCACTGTGGGGATGCTGCCTTGGGTGCAAAAGAGGACAAAAACTGTACCTGGAGGGAGAAATGTCTAAGCAGTGGGGAAAAAGGGTGTTGTGCAAAAGCATGAAGCTTTATACTAATGCATCCAGCTACCTTAGCTGGGAATCTGCCTCCATTTCATAGAGTTGATTTTTACATACCTGGGAAAAAAGTGCCACCTATGATGACAGTATAGTGAGCCTTTAAAATGCACTACAGGAGCTTGATGCTTAAGGGCTGTATCTCCTGTACCAGCAGCCAGACTGTGAAGGTGTGGAAGGGAATTAACTGTCTGGAACCTTGGGAATGCATCTCTCAGGCAGGTGCAGTGAGTGGGAGCTGATCTGCGTGCCCTGGGGAGGTGGTTTGAAGACATTAGAGCTTCCTGAACCTTTTATTTTTTTCTCCTCTTTTTTTCTTCCTCCTGGCTGCTGATCTCTCAGGACACTGAAAGAGGATTTGGCAAAGGTTTGTGAGGAGGAAGAATTACGTGTGAGAAAGGAGGAAACTGAAAGACTCTCAAAGCTGCGAGCCACCATCACCTCTGAGACTGAGGCAGAGAAGGAGAAGATAAGGTGAAAAGTTTTTCCACAACAAGCAGGAAGCTGCCATCCTTAGGGACATAAATTGTGGGTTTGAGAGAGAAGCATCTTGCATGCCATCAGCATCCACTTGGGGTTCTTTAGCCAGCCTGAGCTTCCTGTAGCTGCTGCCTTGCTCTGTTAGAAAGCTAGGAATCATGAGGACCCAGCTATGATGCTGTTTGCTGTTTATTTCCAAGGTCTTTGCTGTTCAAAGTGTCCATTGGTTCTCAACTTCTTCTGGGGTTTTCACGTCTGATCTTCTGAGCTCTGGTTCCTCAATGGAGCCCAATGTTAAAGTACCAAATTCTGACTGGCTCCTCTGTTCTTGTTATAACCCTACCAGGGCAGAGCAAGAGCTGGCACTGCAAAAACTAAGAGAAGAGTGGGAATCCCTGCAGGAAATGGAGAAGGAGAACTTGGAGAGGAAGAAGCAGCTTGCTTTGGAGAAAATGAAGCTGGAAATGGAGGAAGCTCAACAGAAAGAAACAATCAGGCTAGAAAAAGAGAAGGAACAATTCCTAAGGGAGCTTAAGGAGAGATTAGAAATGGAAAAGAAAAAGGTGAGACTCTTTTGTTACCAACTAGAGCCAGACCCTTGCTGTTTATGCTGACCTGACTTGCACTGCAATGCTGAAGTTAAATAAGATTAAGTAACACCTGCATGTGCTTTGATAATGACTATGTTAAGACACAAAGGAAAGATGTTTGGCATGCTGGTAGAGCTGTGATTGGGCTGGGGATGCTCCCCTTGTTTTGTTACAGGGGGGATTAAATAGTTATTTCAGTGGCCACATTGCATCTGAAGGAAAAAAAATGTTGTTCTTCTTGGCCAAGTGAAAGCAAACTACCTTATCAGGCTAGAAAACCTCTTGGGTGTTGCTTTAGCACTCTGGAAGGCTTGATGTTCTTGAATAGAGGCAGCTGATAGTCTTTCCATGGGATGGCATGTCTGAGATCCACTGAGATCTTTGGAAAGGAAAACGTCCAGAGAGCTTACTGTGCATTACTGTGCATTACTGTGCATTACTGTGCATTACTTGTTTTGAAAGGGATTCACTGCGCTTTTGCTGCTTGTGGATAGAAGTTAATTGCAGCTGCACCTTGTGTGGCATTGTCCCTGTAAATGAAGGATTGTCAGCAGACTGTTTGGCTTGTCTTCCTGTAGGCTGCAGAGGAGCTAGAGAAACAGTTTGCAACTGAACTCCAGCAGCTGAAATCTGCAGCAGAAGAGAAGCATCGGAAGGTAAAAGATGGTGTCCCCAGAATGGGAATTGCTTTTTCGTCCCACTCCATTTCCAGGTGTGGGCAGGGTGGGTGGCATTAATTATTTTCTACTTCCTAAACATGGTTCTGGTCTGGCTCAGTATTTGGGCATGTTCCAAGTTAGGGGGTGGTGGGACTGTACACGTTGATCTTTGCCATGCTTCTTGATCTCTGTAGGAGGACACTAGAGAGATCTTGTCAGAAGGGTGACAAGTCTCTGTGGGTGGTTTTCATGGCAGGTCACTTCCAGCCTGCAAACCCAGATAGTGGAGGCACAGAGGAGTGAGGAGGCTTGGTTGCGTGAAGATTTGCAGAGAGCAGAGGAGAAAGTGCAGCAGAAATCATACCAAGTAGCAGAATATGAACGTGAGGCAAGTATTCGTCTTGGATGCTGAGAGTTCTTTGTTCTCCATTGATGTTTGGTGAGGTCTGAGATGCAGAGTCCCCTGCCCAGGGGTGACAGTGGTGCGCACTGGGGAAGGGACAGCAGCATCTCCTTTCACAAAGTGCTTTTTTGCTACTCTCTAGGCTGTGGCCTGATCCCACTTGCAAGGTTCTCAGTCCTTCTGTTCGTGTGGGAAGCTGCTCTCTTGGGGAGCCAGTGCAGTGATTCAGTGAAGCCTCTTTGTGTCATCATTGCAGCTCAGTGAGCTTATGAGTGAGAAACGCCATGAAGTGGAAAAAGACCATGAGAGGAAAATGGAGAGGATGAAGGAGGAGCACCAGGAGGTCCTAGCAAGGATTCGGGATCAGTATGAAGAGGAGGTACTTCTGGGGAAGTGCAGTGGACTGGGAGATCACTGTTGGTCAGCTGGACTGTACCTGGGCTGGCACTGCTGCTTGCCAGCTCTGCTTATCTCAGCCACTCCTAGAACTGGGGCATCTCATTCGTTTTAGTGCTTTTGCTGCTGTGTAAAGCAAACTGAGGCTCAGGTTATGATGTTAACCTGTCAAAGCATTCTGTGCAAGCAACTTCCACGTGCATTTGTGGACTTCTGTATTTAGAGAAGCTTTTTGATGGTTTCGTAGTTGCCTGTTCTGGAAAGCTTCCTGTCACACAGTCAGCAGTGTATGACAAAGCCCTATCATGGGTCATTTCTTCTTTCCTGAGCCATCTTCATAATGATATTGTGCCTACAAGCAGCAGGCTTTAATCTTGCTGAAACTGTTATTTGCTAAGGACATGTTGTGTGATGAGCTGGTTATACAGAGCGTGTGTCCTTTGTGTTCATGGTTGCTGAAGGGTTTCACTCGGCCGCCTTTTCTCGTTTGTATTCTGTGACAGGAAAGAAAGCAAAGAGCAGAGCTGTTTGAAGGCCTGCGAGGTGAGATGGCTCGCCTCCGACAGCTCCATGAAGCGGAGGTGAAAACTCTGCAGGCAGAGCTGGATGAACGTCTGACCGCACTGCAGCACAGGCATGGGGAGAAGGTGAGGAGAACCCTGCTTGGCAGTTTGGGACTTGGCTGCTTGGGTACTGTGACACCTCCGTGCATCTGCCACCCTCTGTAGCCAACAGAAATACAAGTGGCAGGTCATTCTCTCCTGGTGGCAGAGCTCTGCCTGGTGGGTGAGGAGCTTGTGCCATTCACCCTTTAAGTTGACATTTCTGTGCAGGAAAGAAGACTCCAGGATTCAGAAAATGAGCTTGAAATACGTGCAAGGAACATTAAAGCAAGATCAGTGCAGCTTCTTAGCCAGGTGAGTCAGCTGTGTTGGGCTTGAGACATTTCCTTGCCTGAGCTGCTCCCCTGGCTGCTTCCTGGCTGGGTTGTATTTGCCACCCAAGTTACCAGGTTTCAAGATAAAACTTCTGTCGTGAGGGCTAAGTGTTCTTAGTAGCACAGTCTCACAGTTAGTGGTATTTGTGGTGAAAGTCAGTGCCTTGGCAGTGCTCCTCTGTTTTGGGAGGCAGTATGTGAGTTATGTCACTTACAGGATGGGATGAAGCAGAACAGATAACAGCGTTCAAGTAATCTTGAATTATCTTGAAAATTAGGCCTGACCTCTGTATTTCAAGTGTTGTTGAGCATCAGCAGTCTCCTCTGCTGGTTTCTCTATGTTCTGATAGTCACCTGCTTTTTCTGCTGTGTCTAGGAGGAGTCTCTGAGAAGGAAAAAGCAGCAGCTGCTAGATGAAGACAGACGGACTGAGCGAGAAAGAGATGTATGTATGCCTTGGCTCTGCAAGGGATCTGTGCTGCTTTGGTTTTGGGGATGGAAAGGGGAACGCACTAGAACCATGGCTTAAAAAATGAAAGTTATGTTGTTTTCTAAACTGTGAGTTTGCAAGTTCCCTCCTGCCCCTTTGGCTTGACCTGGAGAGTCTTCCTGCTGGGAGTTTGGTTAGCTCAGAGGTATTTCCCAAAAAGAGCAGGCAGTCTTGTTCCCCTGGGATTGATGTGTGATGTGTGTTTGTAGCTCTGGGGCCTCCCATGAACTGTGCAGATAGCAGAAGTCTCTTGCATGCAGTGTGCATTCACTCCATTGTCAGGGAAGCCTGAGAGATTTTTTGTTTGTTTGTTACCAGGAAGCTGCTTTAGCTTCTCAGCTCCGCCTGGAGGAGAATCGGAAGGAGCACACCAACCTTCTTGAGTCCATCTGGCAACTGCGTAAGGCTCTTGAGGAGCTCCAGGACCAGAAAGCTGAGCTGGAGGCCCAGGTGGATTTGCTGCAGACTCGAAGCCAGAGGCTGCAGAAGCGTATCAGGTGTGTGTCTGTGTGTGAGAGGTTTCCTCTAGTGCTCAAAATCTACCTGGTTACTGGTGTTGTCTGCAGGTGTTGCACGAGCAGTTCAGCTGTGCCTAAGAGCAGTGGCAGTAGGCTGTCTTAACGGTCCTTGTCAAACTGCTTTGCTACTGTCTGATGTACCCCAGCCCTGGGTATAGAAGTCTGTATCTGAAAACTGCTATATGAAGTCTCTTATTTGTATTTATTCCTGTATGTGGGGAAAAAAAACTGTATGAGACAGCAGCTGTAAGCTGTTGTGAATTCTTGTCGTCAGCATGTTTCTGTGTTCCCACTTGTCTTTCATGTCTGGCCCTTTCCTGTCTGGAATCTGGAGGTTGCTTTGGACACTTGCTGGTAGTTTACTGGGCTAGGAGGACCTGCAGTCTAATGAATTGCTGCCATTGTTGCCTTTTCATGTGGCAGTGAGCTTGAGGCAGCTGTCAGGAGCAAGCAGGAGACTTTGAAAGAATTGGAGGCAGAAGAAAGTGCGGAGTCTCCCAGAAGGAAAGCTGAGCTCCATGTTGAAGACCTGAGAGAAACTATTCATGCTGTGAGTAGAGCTGTCTGCAAAGGCATTTGCCTCGTGAGATCTGAGGCTGTAACTTTGTGAAGATTCCAGCCTTGGCTCTTTCTGCCTAAGCTCGTTTCAGATGCGTTGATGCATTCTTCTTTGCCAGAAGACATCAATGTTTTGTACTCCTTGTTGCTTTCTGCCTATTATTAGGGGAAAAGGAGCGTGGGATGCCTGAGTGCCCTTGAAGTCAAAAGCAGGACTTGAGTGGGAGATGGAAATGTCTCTTACTTAAAATATCACACAACAAAATATCCCCAGCACTGGTCTTGGATCAGGGCAGTAATACAGTGATGTCATCCAGACATCCACTTTTGCCCCTGATTTGATTCTAATGGGATCCTGGGCTTCAATTTTCTTGTGCGTATCTATCAGTGTTTGAAACGTTTCCACTCTTCAGCATTCATCCAGAGAGCCTGCTTCCCCGCCTTCTCAAAGCCATGAAGACAGCAACTTCCAGTTTGATCAGTGAGTATCTGTGTACCAGCTACTTCAGAAAATGTGGTTCTCTTGTTTGTTTTTTTTTTTTTCCTTGAGTTTTAGAAGCAGATGTTTTTGCTTGAGTTTTATATGCATTGCACATACAGTTTATTTTGGGAGGGATCTGCATGAGGCTTGCTGGATGGAAAGGCCAGCACAGAAGGCCAGAATTGTACCTGTTTCTTATAGAGTCAGGAGCTACATCTCTGCTGAAGGAATCTCCATCAGAAAAGCCAAGGAATTCCTGGTGCGTCAGACCCACTCCATGAGGAAAAGACACACAGCACTGAAAGCTGCAAAGCAGCAGTGGCACCAAGATGTGCAGAAAGCACAGGAGGTGGTGCAAGATCCTGACAACTCCCAGCTCCTGGAGGGAATGCGCAAGAACCTGGAAGAGGTGAGTCACTGAGCACTGGCAGGCATCCATCCCATCAGCAGGGACAGGTTCACAGTTGTAGCTCTGCAGCAGCTTCGCTCTTGCTTGAAAACTGATCCCTGAGTACTTGTCAGTTCTGCTGATACATCAACCAAAGACAGGGAAAAGGTCTTCATTTCCTTCATTGACAGAGCACTCCTATTTGCAGATTTTTGCTGCAAAGCTGTCGACTCTGTTGGATGCAGGATTGTGACAGCCCTTTTTCTGTGGAGCAATGTTGCCTTAGCCTTGTTCTTTCCCTTCTGCACATTCCTTTTTGTTGCTCTGTGGGACTTGGGAGCAGTTTAAATCCAGCAGCATGATTTCTTGTGCCAAGTAGAAATGAGATGGTGAAAATCACCGTGACCACTAAAGTAGATAATTTCCTGTTGTTCTTGGGTAATTTTCCTCCTTGGCATTGCTGTTTGATCCACTGCAGGAAGCCAAGCAGCTGGACAAGATGAAGTCGGCTATGCGGAAAGGACAGGTGCTGCTGAAGAAGAAGGAAGAAAAGCTAAGCCAGCTGGAGTCGTCCTTGTTGGAGGAGGTAAGCACAAGCATCCTGCTTGGACCTGCCCAGCTGTGCTCCCAGTTTGCAGAGCTGTTGGCCTCCTCCCATAGGCAGGAGTCTCTGCAGAGCTTTTGGCTGTGTTGTGCTTTGAGAGCAGACTGATGGGTCTGTGAGAAGAGTGGGAGAGAGTAGGCGAGACAAAGAGCTGGAGAGAATGACTGTGGTGCACATGATTCACCAGGTCTGAGGTTTGAGATGGAGAGTTTGTCCCATGATTGCAGCTTGCCAGTCAAGGCTACTGGCATCAGGGTTTGAGTTGGTTGGAAAAAAATCTGCTAAATGAGCCCTCAAAGCTTCTTAGATCAGAAGCAAATCTATGTTAATGGTGATATGCAGATTACAATATAAACTGAACTCCAGTTAGAATTGTTAGATATTTTATTAACTGTCTGTGACTTGGGCAAGATGGCAAGTATTTCCCTTTGCTGATGGCATCTGGACTCAGCATTAAGCATATGACCCAGAAAGCAACCTGAAAAATCGGCATGATTTTTGCCTAGAGAGAACGAGGGCAGGTCACCTCGTGTGAGGTGGAATCCACTTTACTTTCCTGTTTGGGACAGACCTTGGAATCTGTCCAGCTGTGCTTGTGAGCATGTGGCCTTAGAGCAGCAGTGTAGATGTGAATGCAGAAGACTTCTGGTGGCCGAGCACTTTCTGTTGATGCAAAGAAATGACCCAGCCTGCAAGAGCTATAAGGCATATTTGATGCACAGAACGTTTTGACTTCTGCCTGGAAGGGCTGGTTCGTGCAGCTGTTAAATTTGGCCTCCAGTGAATGCACGTGCTTCTTTCAGAGGCCACACAGTCTCTTCACTTCTCAAACATTGCTGTTGGAGTCGCAAGACTCTCTTTTCACCTGTTCTGTGCCTGACCATGCAGTCCTGCCTGCGTAGATGAGCTGTAAGCAGTAGTCCAATGGCTTTGCTGTTGCAGAGACAGAAAGCAGGTTTCATTTGCAATGTTTCCCTTATCAGCTTTCAGATGAAGATACACTAAAGAGTGTTGCATGCAAGAAGATGGTGACTTTTGATCTCAGCAGCTCTGAGGACACAAACAGTATATCCAGTGCAAACGTACATTTGCCAAAGTGTAAGTTTCTGACTGGTTTGATACTCTGTGCTCAATGCTTTTGGCAGTGTCTGGCTTTCCCTTTTGCCTCTCAGTTGTATGTAAGGCTGTTCCTGTTTGTACTCATTTCAGTCTAAGGCAGCTTTGCTATTTATGACTGAGACTGCTCTGTATATAACACTTTGCTTGAAAAACTTATTTCCTGCCTGTGGTGGTGTATGAGAGGGATGGAATCTGTGCATGAACTTGCCTCTTAAATCTACCCTTATTTTTACTGTGGAGTGTAAAACATGGCTTCAGCTGTTCCTTCTCTGCTGCTACGGAGCTGTCATGCTCTGTCAGTGTCCAGGCTTCCTCCTCACATCTCTGTCAGGAGAAGTTGGTCCAGTTTCCCATGTCTGCTGCTTGTGCTATTTGCCTTCTGTTCCTTTAAAATTAATCTTTGTCTCTGCTGCTCTGTCTGTGAGCAGAGACTGATCAAACTCAGCTCACTGTGGCGCAGCACAAAGTGAGTCCTGATAAGGAGACAGTGTCTCCCTCACCTTTCCAGTGATTCCTTTTTTCCCTTCTCTCCTCTGCTAGCTGACCTGCGAACAGAGGTGCAGATTGCCCTACAGCAGGACAAGATCCAGTACTTGACAAACTCTGTGCAGCACATCACCAACGAGCTGAATGGGGTCCTCGGCGTTCTGAGCTCTCTGAACACCCTCCAGCCTCCGCTCCTCACTTCAACACAGGTGCCCCTGCAGGTTCCCTGTGACAGCATTCCTCTTTCTACGTATTCCACCTTGGCAGGATTGCAGGCAGGTGCCTCCTCGAGGCCCTCTGCTGGGCTGTCTGTGCCTGACCAGTGGGCCTGGGGCACTGGGCTGAGCTCCAGCCGCTCCTTCGTGGCTGGGCAGTCAGTGGACCGTTTCCTGGCAGAGAAGTGGCACAAGTACTTTCCAGGTAGGTCTCCTGTCCTTACTGCATCTCACTGTTTGCTTATGACTTCTGATTTCAGTGCTGCGTGTTCTAATCAGCTCATCATGCCAACCTGTACTGCTGTTGAGAGTAGTGCTAATAAGATCAAGAACAAGAACCTCATTCCTGGTAGTACAATGTATGTCCAACCGTGTTATCCTGCCTCTAGAAAAGTTTGGCCTCTGACATACACAGGAGAAAAGTTATTAAAAAAATGAGCAAAAAGGAATCCAGATCTTGCAGCAGCCTCCTGTGGATTGGAGATAGGGTTCACCATCTCAGCTTCCTTTATAACAACGCTGAGCTCTTGGCAGATGGCTCCACTTGTAGGGATGGCGTGTCCATAACAGGAAAGCAGATGCATTCAAATTATAAAGCCTGTTGATTTTTTCAGTGAGGGGGACCCTCACTGAATTGTGTATTTAATGTATTTAATGTTTGTTTCCCAGGTGGGTTCCCATCATCCAGTGGAAGTTCTGGTCCTTCAGACAACAAGCTGGGATATGTACCTGCAAGGTGAGTGTCTTTTTGAGTGTTCTTTTTTTTTGTTGTATTGCCTTTATTTGCCTGGAATAAATTTTAAATTAGGTGATTTTGTTTCTTACCTACTTGTTCAGTGAAGCAAATTAGATATTAAGAAGATAAATTAGGTACCATTGGTTACTCACTGCCACATGCCTTGAGACAGCAGCTTTATTTCAGAAGCCAGAGCTGTGCAGCTAACACTGATCTCAGGAGCAGAATCCAAGGGTGCCAGCTGTCTCCAGGCAGAACTCTGGCTGGCTCTGCTGTGGCAAGTGTCACTGGAGGGGTGACACTGCAGGCTGCCTGCCAGCTGAGCCTTTCTGATGCTACACAGGCTGAAGGAAGGACAGCAGCTAGGTGGGATGGGGGGGCTGTTGCTGCTCCAGCTCTCCTTCGTGATGTGGCTGTGCAGAACAGTTAGAGCTCAGAAGAGGTTGTTTGTTAACCTTGGCTCTTTCTTTAGCTATGCTTTTTCTCATCTCTGAGTTTGTTTCTGTCTAAGCCCGTTTCCCACTTCTGTCTTTTTCTCTCCCAACAGTGAGCAGATGCGCGTGTTCCAGAGCCGTGAGTCAGACAAGATGAGTATTCAAGGAATGATTGAGACCAACAAGAAATGGCTAGAAGACTTCAAGAGTGATTCAAGGATGTATCCTTTGCCTGGGTCTGGTCTCTAATTGTAGTCCAGCTTCCTGCAGCAGGCAGGAGGAAACAGCAGGAGGTGAATGAATCAGAAGCCACTAAAGGATTGAACAGCAATTTTGAAGCCTTAGCCTCTATTTTAGTGTCCAGTTCTGCAAAAGAATGTTGTTTAGCAGTTGGAGCACGAGTGACCTGGTTTTTCCATCTTTGAGCTGTGCTTACCTGAGAGATTCTCCTTCCCTTCTCCCAGTTGTGTTGTGAAACACAACAGTTGGAGACAGTAATGTGAGAATTTTGCCTGCTGCTGTAGGCATGCGGTTGGTGCAGTTGATACAGGCAGCCTGGTGTGAGGGAGCCATGAGCACAGCCAAAGCTGTGTGTGGCAGCTGTGACTTGCAAGGTGAGGTGGCCACACGGCTGTGCAGGGAGGCCCTGGGCTCCCTGGTGGAGTTGCCCTGTCTAGCTCAATTTGGAGACATATAAGTGAGTGAAACCTGATGGGAATGTTTCCAGGTTTGTGTTGTAACAGCATTATGTTGGGCTGGAAGTATCTCCTTTGCAGTGTACACTGATATTAGCAGCAAATCCCTCAGGCCCTCTGATAGCACACGCTGTCCTGAGCGCAGCGCTCCTTTGAATTCCATAATCCCCCTTTAATTCCATTTGACTTGGATGCAGAGGGCTGAAGGCAGCACGTGTGTGTGAGGCTGGTTCCTGCCCCTCAGTACCTGCCCTGTCTCCTGGCTGTGCTCATGCCTGCTAATCTCTTGTGTAAGCCATGCTTTTCCTTAACCCAGCTGTCAGACCTCTCTTCCCAGGCGCAGAGAAGCCCCCTGCCAGCAGCTCCAGCCTACTTCAGCTAGGGCTGGATGAAAACAGACAAATTAAAGTGTACCGTTACTGAAAGGTGGGACTTGATGTTTTCAGCCCTCGACTCTGGGCACAGGACCTGGAGAGATGATAGCTGGGGGCTGTGCAGTCTCTCTAATGGTACGGTGGGTTTTGGTGATACCCAGCCATCTCTGTCTTTGTGCTGTGCCCTTGAAATAAAGTCTCTTTACAAGAGAGTGGAGGGAGGAGGAAGTGAAGTTCCCAGGTGGATTCTTCTAATCCTGTAATGTGTCCAAATATACTTTATAGACTGTTTAATCCAGTGGTGAAATATCAGGGCTTCAATAAATCAACAGTTCTCTCATTAGTATTCTAGAAACTGTGAGACATAGCTGTGAATCATGGAGAACTTTGAGTAACTGGTCAAGGGGGAGGACATGAATCTAGCTGAGACTTTGCTAGAGGAAATGTATCAGGAAATGAGCCCACACTGATGCCCAACAAATGCTTAATTACAGATGAGCCAAGTCATCTGGCTTCTGTGGCGAGTGCATGAGCAGAGGAGAACGGGCAGCAAAATGGCTATAGAATTGGGAAACAGCAGATTTTGACTCTGGGAAATGTTCCTCTCTTCTGGTGTGGAAACAATAGGAACAAAACCAAGGGTGGTTTTCATGGCAGATATTGTAGGAAAGAGTTCCCTGCGTCCTCCTCTTTCTGCCAGGCTGGCCAGAACTGCGCAGCATAACTGTGCTATGGGAGCTCAGCTCATGTATTACAAATGTGCTGATGGCAACACGGAGCAGGGATGGCAGGAGAGCGAGCAGCAGTGTCTGCTGGTGCAGGCAGTGCTGGGGAACTCAGCCTAGTGTGACTGCGAGGAGACAAAGCCCCATCTGCATCCTTCCATGCCCTGGGGAAGGGGATCTGGAGCTCAGCAGCTGGGGCTCTTCCTGCACAGCAGGGCTGCGTGGCAGACCTGAGCGCTGGCCTCGCTGCTTGGAGCAGCTCTCCCAAAACCTTGAAACAAGGCTGGGAGCAGGGCTGGGGGGTTGGCACACGCTGTGCTCCGATGTGAGCTCACACCTCAGCAGGTGGCTGTGGTTGTGGTGCTTTGGATGGGCTGCATTCAGAGCACAGCCACGTCCTGCTGGCGTGCAGAGGTCGGTGGGGGCTGCTTGAACCAGAGGGGTGGGAGAAATCAGGCCGTGCTTTCATACCACTAAGTGGGGAAAGTGGTATTTGGTTGTTTTATCAGTCATTCCTCCGAGCTGACTTTAAATATTTAATGCTGTAAAAAAACACTGTACCATTTGCTATTTTGTCTGATGAGAAGTCTGCATTTCAAGGGATCCCATCTGTGAGAAATCAGCTTCAAAGTCGCTCTCTCTGGAGACAGCTGATGCGGGGAGGATGGCGAAGTTGCTGCTCTTCACCCTTCAGTGCTGTTTGTGCTTCTCAGTGGCTAATGATGTGCAGCAGAGTAAAGCACAGCTCCCCCTTCCTGACTGTTGTGCACTGGCACAGCATTGCAGCGATTTGTGCTGTGAGGGTGGCAGGGGAATGTTTACATGCAAATAGAAATATATTTTTGATGAACATTTTAAAACTCTCAGGAAGAATGTCCGTATTTGCATTTATTTTTATTCTTTTGGGGCTGAACTCCTCAATATTTTCTAAATTCCTTAGCCAGCCTTTGTCCTGGGATCTTCTGGAGTGGGTAGCATCATGCTCATGTCCTTGCTGAAGAAATCCCAGCTGGGCTGAGCTGGGAGACCTCGTGTGACCACAGGGAATGGCAGCTGTGTGGGGCAATCCCTTCTCCATAGGAAGGGATGGATGGAAATGCAGATTTCCTGTCTGCTGTCAGATTATGCCAATCCCTGCCTAGAGGGATTTTGCTTTTGGTTTCCCAGCTCTTGGTGGAACACGTGGCAGAATCTCTAGTTATATTTTGGACTTCTGGCTCCCTGAAGGTGGGGGGAGGCTGTCAGCACGGTGGATGCTGCACCCAAAGCCGTGCAGCTGAGCTCAGGCTGCATTCTGAAAAGCATAGATTGGTGGTGTGGGGGAAGCGCCTGCTTTCTTAGCAATAATACATTTTGAAACATGTTTATTCTTCCTGTTGAAACTTGTGATCGCTGTATCTGGTTTTGTAAGCAAATTAAATCAACACGAGTCTGTTTTGTATGGGGTGACGTTTGCGGCTTTATTTTTGCTTGCTGAGCCATCCAGCTGTAGTCTCAGATAGCCAGCTCTTACTTACCTTTCACATCTTCCCCTCACTTTTCTCCAGGCTGCTTCATGTTTTGTCTTGTCAAGGTCATCTCTGGCAATTTTTAAGACCACTTCAGCTCGCTGTAGCTTTATTATCATTATTCTATTAAGCATCTGGCCACGGTAGCAAACGCAGGGGCAGATAGAAAGCTGGAAAACAAAACTACAAAAGCAATTCTTCACGGGGCTCTCAGCCAGCAGGACAGCTTTTCATGGGCTTGTATCCTGCCCTTTTCATAAAACTGTCATCCAGACTCATTACAATGGTTGTCTCCCTTCTGAGCTTCATGTCAAGGCTGCGAGCCGGGCTGTGTGCCTGCAGAGCAAGGCCAGCCCTGCGGGAGGTGCAGGAGGGCTCCGGGTGCTCTCCTGGCTGCTTTGGCTCTGCCCTGGCTCCCTGGCATGTGTCGCCCTGCTGGGGAACGGGGCCTGGCTCTGGGGCTGCTCTTGGATAAAGCAGATTGGGTTAAAAGTGGTGAACTTGCAGCTGCTGTTTGAGGTCCTGTGCTGCTGCGTCGCTGCGTCACGTTCTCACCACCAAGGAGAGTTGGATCTGTGCTGTCATAGAATCATAGAATCGCAGCAACCTGAAGATCATCCAGTCCAACCCCCCTCCCATTCCTATCAGTACCACAAGCATTAAACCATCTCTTGCAGCTCCTCATCCAGGTGCCTCTTGAACACTGCCACGGATGGTGACTCCACCACCTCCCTGGGCAGCCATTGCAGCGCCTGACCACCCTCTGAGAGAAAAAGTTTCTCCTCATGTCCAACCTAAACCTCCTCTGGTACAACTTCTGGCCATTTCCTCAGGTCCTACTGTTTGCCTGGGAGAAGAGGCCAGACCCTTTTTCATCACAGCCTCCCTTCAGGAAGTTGTAAAGTGCAGTGAGGTCTCCCCTGAGCCTCCTCTTCTCCACACTGAACAATCCCAGCTCCCTCAGCTGCTCCCCATCGCACCCCATTGTGCTCCAGACCCCTCACCATTTTCGTTGCCATGGTCCTCTGCCCATGGTTTGGTCCTTTCCCTTCCCACCACCTGCCAGCAGCCGTGGGACTCCACAGTCTGCTCTTCCCTCTGCCTGTTTGCTCCTTTGGGACTTTTCAAGGTGGTCTGGTTAAAAACTCAGCTTGTCTTGTCTCTAAACGTTGGAGTGAAGGCTCCGGTGCTGGGAGGCTGCAGGTGTGTAACGGACAATGACAGAAGTGCTAGGGAGAGGGAGTTCAGCTCCTGCCCTTGATTTTCCACCTCTGACTTCAGCACAGCTGGAAATCCCGGGTTCAGATGGATGGGGATGGGAGAACTCTGACAACTGTAATATGATTTGAGCTCCTGGTACAGCAGCAGCAAGATACAAAGACAAATGTGGTCCTGGGATGCACGAGGCAGGCAGACACACGGAGGGGCTGTGCTGCTGCTGTGCACAGCTGTGCTCTGCATGCAGGGGGCTGGAAGGAAGGAAGGCAGTTGCTGCTGTGCGTGCTGGGGAGTGAGGGGAGCTACTGAAGCTGTAGGACAGATGAGGTGCAGGAAGAATCTGCTGGCCGTGTAGAAATGGTGGGTGATGGCTAGATGCACGTCCTTAAGAGCAAAACACAAACCACCCCCAGACCTTGAATTGCACGTTGTCCTGCTCAGCTATAGCAAATACGATGCCACAGACCTCAGCATGCTGTTGAGCCCATGTAATAACTGAAGCAAACAAGTCTCTTGGTTCCCTACAGCTCTTCTGAAGCAGCTGCTGGGCAAAGGGATGGCACTGAGAAACCCAAATTCACATCTGGACTCTGCAGGCCTTTTGGGTGCGGGAGGCAGTGCTGTCATCCTGCTGAGAAGCAATCCAAAACAGAGCCATGGGTCTGGGTGTGTGAGTGTGCATAGGTCTGCACAGGTACATAAGGAAAAAGAGGATTTGCTTTTCCTGGAATGCTGGTGCTGCATACGTTGGAGAAATTCAACGATTAGAAGAGCAAGAGGACAGAGCGTGATTATGGTGCCAGGATGAACACAAGCTGTAAGCTCATTAAGGAGCTTGGAGTCGGCCTGCTGGAGGAGGGGACGCTTCAGTCACTGCTGCTCAGAGACCACAGTGCATCACTGCCAGAGCTTTGGCTTCCCAGGACGGTGGGAGACTCTCAGAGACCGCAGCCATGCTGGGGACCCTGATGACAGCACTGTTTTTTGTGGTGAGAGCATTTGGACAGGTGAGTTGGAGCTGGCAGTAGGTAGGATTTAATGCTTTTTGTCTTATTTCTAGAAGCGTGGGGGTTGTTATCTTGTCAACTCTAAGCTGGTTTGAGCACATTTGAATTTCCGTGGCTGTAGCAAAGTAGATCTAACAGCTGCTTTGCAGAGAACTGCAAAGTGCAGGTACTTAGGCTTTCCAGTCTGGTGCTTTGGTGCCGCAAATGGGGAGCGAATCTTGGAGCTCTTTGGGATTGGAAGGCAGGAAAACCACCCCTGCTTGCTGCTGGGGGCACCTGACCCTACAGCTGGGGGCACCTGAGCCCTTGGAGCTGGGGGAAGGGGATGAGGATTCCACATTTGTCTGGTGGGACACATCCTAAAGCACTCCTGAGCAGGAGGATCACCTGAACTTAACACAGTGCCACACGGCATCAGCTTTATCCATAACATCTGTGTTTGCTTTCACAACTTGCTTAGCTTTAGTTCTTGTCATTTAAGAGCTCAGCAGCACAATCTGCTGCCTCTGTATCTTTCCTTCCTGACCTGCTGCTTGTGACCCTGTAGTCATCTCTGATGGCAAGCATGATGTCAGGTGGAGGAAGAGGAGAGGGCAGCAAGCATTCTCGTGGGCTGTGAGTCCCATGCTGGCTGTGCACTGTGGGACCAGGACCTGTGAGAACACCCAGTGAGAACTGCCCATCACTGGTGCCAGGATGACAAGCGGAGCATTGCCACTGTTAGCAAGGGTGTGATCAGTGTTGATGTGCATGCAGGAGCAGCTCTTCCTGTTGCTCATCCGCTTCTCCCCTGTTCTATGACCTGCTGCAAATCCTCTCTCCATCCAGCTTGGGACCAGCCTGTTCCAAGAAGAGCCCCTGCCATACCTTGTGTACCAGCCCCTGCCCTGGCAGATCCAGTGTGTGACACAGAGCCGCCGCACCAGCCGGGACAGCGATGTGAGTGCTGGATTTAGCTGGAGAAGGCAACTGGTAGGGAGGAGTGGGCTTCTTTGCTGGCCCTTGTGCAGCCCTAGGCCTTTCTCTGGCAGTGCATTGGTAGCGTGGGGCACCTGTTGTACCCAGAGAGTGCTGCCAGGCTGCCTCACTGCTCTGTGCTGGCATTGGGAGGCCCTTGGTTGGTATGTATGGAAAGTAGGGTGCCTGGCGTGCATGGGGCTGCAGCGAGGGCAGGGATTGATGCAGAGCTCAAATAAAGAGCAGCAAACCTTCTGTTAACCAAACAGTCTGCTTGGAACAGAAGGTTTGGGCAAGGGGGAGACATTTGTTCTTTCCCTTGAAAGACAGAGAATGGGGTAATTCTGGGAGGCAAGGCATGCTGAAAAATGTAGGATGGTGTTTGTAGCCAAACTCAAGCTGTTATCTTACAGAGATGAAGATGTTCCTTAGCAGACCTGGCATCCCAGGGGCTGCAGCACTGTGATAGGGGCTAGAGCTGAGGAAACCAACCCAGTCAGTCCGGTTCCATGCTGGTTTGAAATGCACCCCTAGTGAGGTTAGGCTGTGCCAGCGTTCATCCTAAGGTGTTCCTAGCAAGTCTTGCAGATTAGATTTTTGATACAGAGCTTTCTGCTTCTCCTCGGAGGACTTCTCACAAATGCAAATTAATTAATCACTGCTCTTTAGGTTCTTTAAGGGAACAGTAAGTATTTTCAAGTTTCCCAAGGGGAATGGATAGCAGACAGCTCAGTGGAGCCCTGTCCCATTCAGTGCATCCCCGCCGGCTGGAAAGGACTGCTCCCACTGACTGCATTTCTGTTCTGTGCCTTTCTAGAGAGGCAGGAGCTCACGTCACAACAGCATCTACTCGATTTCTGGAGATAGAGGTGAGTGTGGAGCTGGTGGGGAGGCAGTGCTGACGGCACAGACAGCAGCATGTGTGTGTTTGACCCCTGCCTCCCCGTTCCCATGCAGCCTGCCCCATTGGAACACGTGGCTTGGGCTGTCCCCCACTTTCCCTCCTCCCTGCTCTTCTGAGACCTCCAGCACTCAGCAAATAGGATTTGTCTGCTTCTATTCTCAGTGCACCCCGTCCAGTAATCGGATGAAGGCAGGTGCAGCGATGCTGGGGTGGGTGCTGGTGCTCACCCTGCACGCTCCTCAGTTACACAGCTCTGTCTCACCTGGCCGCTGTGCTGGGCTTTTCATTGCTGGGATCAGATGAAGGTCCCCTAGGGCTTCCTGGGCTGGCGGTGGCACTCGTGTTGGTTCAGCAGTGGGCTGTTATTGATGGGCTCTGTCACTGCTGAGCCTCGCCGAGCTCCTGCACCCGGTGTATTTCTCACAGAGCTGTCAGCAGCCCGCACAGCTGGGGGTTGGGCTCTGGAAGCTCACAGCTCTAAGTGCCCCCAGCGGCTCCCCAGCCTCTGGCATTTGATTTTTGCAGCGGGCAGGATTTACAGCTGACGATGTATCTTGTTAAGCAGGGCAGGAGGGAGCCGATTCCCAACGTGGACTTTTTTATGTATCTTTTTACTTCGCAATTTCTTTTAGGATGTGAATAAAAATGGGTTCAGGTGACATTGGTGAGTTTATACAGCAGCATCTGGCATCAGGATTTCTGATCGCTGCTCGGGGGGTGCTTAGCGGTGACACAGTCGGTTAAAAGAGCACTGCTGAGTGGCTTTGATTCAGTTCCTGTTGAATTTCACAATACTTCCCTAATGCCACATTAAGCGTGGAGTGGGGAGGGCTCCCATTTATCAGCATGAGAGCTTTATTGCTGTACAGCGCTGGGCTTTTTTTTCTAATCTTATTTGTGTGTGTGAAAGTAAGTGAGTATCATACGTGGTGATTAAACGTGGGGAAGCTGAGGTCTTTGGGGAGTAAAGCTGTGTAAATAGAGGGCTTAGAGCTGCCGGGGAGGCTGGGCTTTTCTCTGCCTCCTTCTGTCCCTGTGTGTGCTGGTGGGCTCACAGCTTCCTGATATCCCTGTGCTCACGGAGCTCTTTGGTTCTCACCATAGGCAGCTTGACCCCCGATGCCAGCAGTGAGGGCAAATTCTTCAGCGATCCCTCTGAGAAGGCAGCTCTCACCATCCAGACCCACTTCAGGAGATACCAGCAGCAGAAGCAGGGGAAGAAGTAGCTGCCTTGGCCGTCGTGCCCTGCACCGTCCCTCCTTTTGTGCATCGCGTTCCCCAGCGAGATTTGTGGCCGTGGTGACCCTGCTACCTAGCTCTTGGTGTGTGTAGATTGTCTGCTGGTCACTGAGATCCTTTTCCTGGTGGCTCCTTCCCTGGACAGCATTGCCTTGAAGACCGAGGTGCAACCACGGGGCTCCTGGTGGGAGCCTGACATCCACGTGGCAGAGCTGGCATTTGCCAGCCTAGGTGGAAGCACAGTGCTGGGAGCTGCAAGCCTAGGATGTGGAGAACAGGGCACAAACAGCCAAGAGCAATTTGCAGCAGTTAAGCATCCAGGTGGGGCTCTTTCTCATCAGCTTCAGCCCTCCTCCGTGCCTCTGTTTTGGGCTGGAGCTGAGGCAGAGCAGTCACCTCTCCTTCCCTTGCTCTTGGACCTGAACAGTGATGTCCCCCAGGCTGTGTGCTTCAGGCACTGAGGGAGCAGGAGGTGTGCTGCATGCTGTGACCTGGTTTCTTCTTTTCTTGCGGGCTCCTGGCTTCAGAGTGGGGCTGGGCATGAGATTGTGTTGGGGCTGCTCCTTTCCCAGGCAGCCCCCTACCACCCCAGGCTTTGGCTTAGCTGCCTGTTGTCACTTGTTTCAGAGTTTTGCAGACCACAACATCTGTTCCACATCTGGCAGGGACAGGACCTGAGGTTCTCTTGATTTATAGCATCCATTTTTTGAGTGCTGGCTTTAGGATGTTGCAGAGTTGTTGAGAAAGATGAGAAAACGGAAGCAGAGGTGGGAGGTGCCGGACTGGGAAACCAGGAAGTGTTTGAGAAGCAGGTGAGGAGATCCAGGAGCTATGGCACAAATGGAAGGGCCAGGAGGTAGAGGAGATGCTGACTGTGAGCAGTGATGCTCTGACCACTGCAATGTGTTCTCAGCTGCCTCTTTGCTGGCTACGGTGCTGCATTTTCTGTGCAGAGCTGCTGATGTTGTGTCCTTCACCTCCTGCCTCGTTGCTGTGCAAGGCAGTGAGCTCTGGGGCATCCTGGGGAGGGGCTGCAGCCGTGGCAAAGTGGAGCGGGGTCACGGGGAGGGGAAGGAGTGCTGGAGCAGCATGCTTGCCAAGCACCAGGAATTTGGCCTCTGTTAATGAATGCAAAGCCACTGTCTGGAACTGCTGGGGAAGGTGAGGTGGAGAATTCTTGCTAAGATGTAGAAGGAAATCTGTGCTAGCCGATTATAATAAAGACTTCGTAATCTGTTGTTCTTTTTATCTCGCTAATCCACTTACTCTCACAGCTGTGAACACACTTGCCTTTTCTTGCCTCCTCTATTTCAAGTCTGGGATTGATGTTTCAGAGCTGCACGGTTGCCTTGCTGTGACACAGCTCTGGGATGGGCTCTTGGCTCCATGCAAACTCTGCACAGGGTTTGATGTCTGAAATACGCTTGAACTGTTTCTGCACTCTTAGAAACATGCTAGGAAAAGGCTGATTTGCTTTTCCATGCTTTCCACCGATTCAGAGGGAGCAGGAATGGTTTCATTTTACGAATGCTGCAAGGCAGACCCCATACGGGGGTGGGCTGATGAGGGCAGAGCTGCAGCCTCTGTGCTGTGCATCCGTGGGGGCAGCTGTGCCTGGTCACTGCGTGCCTCCCAGCCTCACTGGCTCCTTCACGTTGTCCCTTCTTGTCTCCTTACCTTATAGCAAGCCACATACACTATTTCAGGACCTAAGAAGCCCTGTTGGAGCTGCACAATGTGACCTTCGGCATTAAGTTGCCATGAAATCCGTGTCCTCCTTGCATACAAGTTGGAAAACTTGGTGCATCGTCTCCGGCCACCTGTTAAACTGAGGGAGAGAAGTTGTGTAAAAGTAAATGCCATTCACAACAGCTCTTGGGATTTGTGCTTTGAGGAGGGGGCATTCCTGTCCGCCCCCAGCGCTCCTTGGCACAGGGCAGCTCTGACAGTCACCACAGCTGATGAAAATACAAGAAACTGTCATTGCCGCTCATTTTCTGGGTCTCCCCTCCATAAAACCCGCTGCTGCCAAGGCAGCTTCCAGCTTCGCTGGGTTTAAAGCGTTGTAGGACTGCAACAAGCAGATGGCAAAGGGGGATGTGCTGAGCAGCAGCAGCTAGCAGAGGTAATAAGGGGTGAATGAGAGCCCAATGCCAACAGCACTGGCACCAACTGCTGCCCTCCCCATCCTGGCCGGCGCTCAGCCACCGCAGAACACCCAGCTATAAACATAACCTTTATTGCACACAGCGCTGGTTTTTTTTTCATAGAAAAAGGTATTAACACATAAGCATTTGCAAATTGAAGCAACTCCTGTTGTTTTCAGAACAGTAAAATAGCATGCAATGTCTTTGAGACGTTCCTTTGTCAAAACCACCGACGAGATCAGGGGGGGAAAACAAAACAAAACAAAAAAAGTTGCCGAGTCTTTCCTTGTGCCCCTCTCAAAATGATGTGAAATATATATATGTTTACATATATATTATATTCTTTTTTCTTTTCATCTGTAACATCAAATTCTTTGTGCCCTGTTTTTTGTTTTTTGTTCGTCTGTTTGTTTTCCATCTGGAGAAGAAGAAAATAGTTTCATTTATACAAAAGAGTTCCTTATGTACAGGTCCGTGATTTAAATAGAAATAGGGGCGGGCAGGGGCTGAGTCCGCGGCGCCTACACCAGCGTGTAGGACTTGGAGTAGGCTCCGGCGCCCTGCTTCTGCGCCCTGCCCGCGCCCGACGTGCTCATCTCCAGCAGCGAGTCCCGCGAGCCCCCGACCTTGGAGTGCGCGGCGGTGGCGGCGGCGGTGGCGGCGGGGGGCTCGGCAGGGGCGGCGGGCGCTGGGGCGGGTGCCGGCGCGGTGCTGGCCGCGGTGGGCATGGGTAGAGTCCTTTGAGGTAAGGTGGTGGAGGAGGAGGAGGAGGAGGAGGGAGGAGGAAGGCCCGGGGGTTTGGCGGCGGGGTCCAGCGTCAGGTGCCGGGCAGGGGGGTGGTAACCACGGGCCAGGCTGCGGATGGAGGCTTCGCGGGGAGGCACCACAGGGCACGGCTCGTGGGAGTCTGGCTTGCGGAAGAAGGCGTCCGACTTGACGTAGAGCGGGAGGTTGCAGTAATCGCCTGAGAGAGGGGAGAGGGGAGGTGAGGATGGGGAGCGGCGCGCCCTGTGGGTGGAGCTGAGCGCCGCTGCCCGGACTGCGCTGTGCTACCGCGCTGGGGCTGTGATGGATTTCTGCTTTATGGCTATGGGACGTGTTGTGTGCTGCGCCTGCTGCTTTTCAGGGAATGGTTTGGGTTGGAAGGGAGCTGAAGGCCGCCTGGTGCCGCTCCCTGCAGCGCACAGGGACACCCACAGCTCAGCAGTGCTCACAGCCCCGTCCAGCCTGACCTTGGCTGTCTGCAGGGACGGGGCACCACCGCCTCTCTGGGCAACCTGTGCCAGCGCCTCACCGCCCTCACTGCCAAACCTTCTTCCTCAGCTCCACCTCAGTCTCCCCTTTTCATCTGAAACCATTTTCCCTTCTCCTCCATTTCTGGCATCACGCAAAGCGATGGAGAAGGAGCAGGATAGCAGCATCCCTCATGCTCTGAGTGCCTGTGATTTCCAAGCACCATGGCTCCCTCTTTTCCTACATCTGTGATCGTTGGAACATTTGTCTACAGATGTGCAACATTTGCAAGAGAGGGCTCCATTGAGATCAGGTGTACAACAGCTGGAAAAAGTTGGCCACATCTGTAGCAGCAGACTCCCCCTATGGGAACAGATGCACATCTGTGAGAGCTGGGCCATGTGGCAACATCTGGAAGCATCTGCAAGGGTGTGCAGTTCGGAGCAGGGTGAAACATCTGGCCACATCTGGAATGGTGTGGGGGGCACATCTAGAACAGATGTGGCCAGCTGTTCCTCCCTCTTGCACATCTGGAAAGAGAGCCGGCCACATCTGGAACAGGTGTGCAACAGCTGGAAGCATCTGGCAACAGCTGGAACAGCTGGCCTCTGTTCACTGGATCTATTAGAACCTGACCCGATCTCACAGGTTCTGCCAGATTCTGATACTCCATGATAGGATATTAAAAATTCCTTTTGAAACGTGCTGGTGTTTGGAAGACTCTGGAACAATGATGTATTCTGTTGAGCTATTAGATTTCCTGAGATTCTTTCAGATTCTGTCAGACTCTAATGCATTTTTTCACAACCTGACAAGTCGCTTAAAGCCTACTGCAATCTGTCAGAATCTCTTGAAATCCAATAAAATCGGTCAGCATCTATTTTATCATCAGGCTCTTGAATCTATCGGAATAGTTTTTAATAGTTTTCCAGCGTTGATTGAAATGCTGCAGGTTCTGGGAAATCCTGACATCACGTTAGATTCTGTCTCAATCCCTAAACGTTGTGTCAGAATCTCTTACAACCTCCTGGCATGCATCAGCCTCTGACAGATCGTATCAACATCTATTAGGTTCTGACACAGCCCAACAGCTTCTGACACGCGTGTGTTACGATACGTGTACCATTTGTGTTTTAATGCAAACAAGCATGCGAAAAGCATGGTACTGAAATACGGCCACTGGGCAGAGAGGGGCAAAGGGAGCACGAAAAGGCTGCTCCTGTGCCTTCCCTTTGCAGCAAGCACCTTGCCCTGCCTCTACGCTCGTATTTGACTCAACTTACTCTTGCTGGCACGGTGTGGGATGGGCACGGCCACGCTCTTGCCGCGCTCACTGTCTTGGGGCTTGGGTGGGGATGCGGTGAAGCGGCAGATGCCGGGCTCTGAGGGGGTGCTCATGGAGGTCATGCTGTCGGCATTGTCTGTGGTGCCCGTGGTCATCTGATCCGAGGAGCTGTCGGAGATGAAGCACTCGGTGATCTCGAACTTGGCGTGCTGCAGCTGCTCCTCCAGCTTGGCGTGCTCGTAGGCGCGCGCCAGCTCCTCGTAGGTGGACGAGGCGCTCTCGGTTGACACCATGCTGTTCCGGCCCTTGTCTGCAGAGGGAGAGGGCATCGGGTCCTCACCATCCCTATCCCACGACTGGGAACGCCATCTCCACCTTCCCCTTGCCCGCGTGTCCCCGGCAGTGGGGCTCAGGAGCCACCAAGGACCCCAAGCAGCCAGGCTGTCCCCCAACCCTTCCGCCACCCAGCACTCATCCTGTTGGTTGAGCACCGTCCCCATCACATACCGGTGTCCTGCGAGAGGCTGGCGCTGTAGCTGTCGCTCTCAGTGACGGTGATGCCGTGCTGGGAGCCCACCGTCCGCCAGTCCGAGGTCAGGGTGCGCGCCGGGGTGGACGCCTGGCACTTGGTGAGGGTCCATTGGCTTGAGTAGCGGTTGCGAGTGCTGTGAGCAGACTTCACGCTCTTCCTTGACACGGGGTCTGTGGCACAGTGATGACAACATCATGCGGGCTCAGTCCCAGAGCCGACCACCTCTCTACCCACTGGGGGAGATGCCCCGTGGCCCTCTCGCCCACAGCACACCCAGCCCAGCACTCACTGGTGCCGGGGCGAATGTCCGACATATCGATGAGCGGCCCCGTGTTCTGGATCAGGGCAGGGTGATGCAATGAGACGCCTGTGCAGAAGCTCTGGGGATTCACGGCTTGGCTGAACTCAGTGTCTGTCACCGGGATCGTGGCTTTGTCGTCTCCTGTGGGGAGCAGCTGCAGGTCAGAGCTCTTTCCATAGCAAGGCCTGCTCGTCTGTGCCCAGCTCACTCACCACATCCCCTGGCACCTCCTGCCCCTCTGTGCACCAGAGCATCCCTGGGGTGGGGATGGGGTGGGATAGGAAACCCCCTAAACCAGAGCACCCCTATACCCCAGGAGGAAGGGGTCTACCCAGGGACACTGTGCCCGCCCCTGCAGTCCCCACACTGTGCTTACCCAGCTGCTTGATGCCCTCCTTGTCCTCGATGAGGAGCTGCACGCGGGGGATGTCGATGTGCAGACGGGGGCCCTGCGGGGGCCCCTTCACCGGCGTGTCAAAGCTGCGGTTATTCTTGCTGTGAGGTAAGAGGGGACGCACACCCAGCGATTACTGGGGAGAGCCCCCGCGGCTCGAGCCTGGCACAGGTTGGGACTCCCCATGCACCAGCCATGGGCTCAGCACCCCCCGGCCCCCCAGACCCTGTGCCAGGAGCTCACCCCGGGACCCACCTTATCAGCATCTCTGCCAAGCTCTTGGCATCTGTGTTAAAAGAGGGGAAAAGAGGACGGGAGCTTTTTGAGCCTTCAGGCATCACTGTGGTACATCGCACAGAGGTAAGGGACCCCATCCTGCACACAGTACCCAGCCCCTCTCACCTCGCAGCCGCTTCAGCCGCTTCTCCTTCCTCTTCTTGCGGATGATGAAGAGTAGGGCCACTCCCAGCGTGGCCAGGATGATGGGGCAGGCGATGGTGAACAGCTTCTTCACATCGTCCCCTTCCCCTTGCGCAGACTTGATGGGTGGGATGGTGCCTGCAGACCAGGCGCGTGCTCAGCACTCCAGCCCTCCATGGGACAGCACAGCCCCCCGTTCCCCACTCACTGCCATCGTAGTCCAACGTGGCGAACTGCGTGCTCTCGTTGCCGCAGCCCGCGCTGTTGCAGGCCTTCATGCGCAGCTCATACCAGGTGGCCTCACGCAGCTCGGTCAGGAAGACCTCTCCGGAGCTGTTGGTGCGCAGGCTCTGCCAGCCCCAGTTGCCCTTGGGGCGGTACTCCAGGACGATGGCGGTGATGGGGCAGCCCCCGCTGCTCCAGCCCTGCAGGTTGAGCCTGGCATGCGTGGAGTTGATGTGGGTGAAGAGGTGCTGGTCCTTGCTGAAGGAGGGCTCTGTGGGATGGGAGCCATCAGCGTCACAGCGTGGAGCTGAGGACGGGGTGTCCCCATTCCAGTGCGCCCCATCCCTGAGTTTCTAAACCAAGAAGCTATGTGGGAAGTAAGGGTGCAGCAGGCGAACCCAGAGATGCACGCACACAGGGAGCCCCCGAGCCAAAGCACCTGCATCTCTTTGGGCTGTGCACAAAGGCGTACGATGGCAGAGGTTCCAGGGCAGAAATAAATCAGCTGCAGTGGCGGTGACTGCAGCAGCGCCGGCTTCGTTTGCCACCAGCCCAGCAGCAGTCAGTCCAGCCCTCCTGCCCTGCTCACCTCTGCCGTGGGTCTTGGCCTCGATGATCTCGCTGATTCGCCCGGCCCCCACGCTGTTCTTGGCCGCCAGCTTCACCTTGTACCAGGTGCCGCACTTGAGGCTCTCCAGCTTGAAGGAGCGCTCGGATGAGCTGATGAAGACATCCTTCCACTCCTCACTGTTGTCCACCGAGTACTGCAGCACGAAGCCTGCGGGTTGAAGGAGGAGGGGGGCTGCGTGCACGGCCAGCACAGAGCCCCCCAGGAGCGCCATCCCATCGCAGCACGGCCCGGCTGCAGGCAGCCCTCAGCCCGTGCTGAGCAGCTCCGTGCTCTGCGCCCGCCTCCACCACCAATTACTGCGGTTGTGCACGGGAGCGCGGGGAGCGCGGAACGTGATTGATTGGTGTGAGGCTATAAAGGGAAAGCCAGAATTAACTAGCTCCCTTGGGAAGCCGCTCGGAAGTTGCTTCTGTCATTGAACGCCGCCTCCTTTCCCATGATTAAGAGTATTAGGAAGCGCACTGTGTCCTGGATGAGCAAACCTGTTACTCTGCCAGCGGCCAGATGTCAGAGAAGGGCACTCTGAGTTTCCCCATGCAGGGGCACAGCAGTCTGAACAAGGTGCTGCCATGCCTGGCACAGCACAGAGCTGCTCACCCAGTGCTGAGCGTGTGCCCCAGACCAGCATGGGGCTGCTCAAGGTGCCCACCACCATGGGGCTGCCCGCACCCACTGCTGCTCTGCCTGTGCCAGGCACCTCCTGGCCACGGGGACAGAGCTTGGCTGCCCTGCAGTGTGTGCACAATGGCCCCGTTGCTGTGGGAACCACCAGTGTGACCGTTTTGACCTTTTTGGCGATGCAAAATCCCCACTTACTTCCCCATCACATCGCCAGATTTGGCTATTTTCATGTTTCCCTTTGCCAATTCTCAAGCAAAGATAGCGGCTGTTCTCCGTGTGCATCAGGAGCCAAACAGAGCTCTGCTTCCTGCACCACTGCCTCCATCACCCCATGATGGAAGCACGGGACACCTGAGCTGCCCCGTCCCCATCCCCTTGCCCACCCAGCACCCCACTGCTTGCCACCCGGCATTCATTTATTTAGTACATGCAGCATGTTTTTAATATTTCTAATCCAATTATAACCAAATTTATCAACAGAGTCCACTGGAGTGAAAGGCTGCTGGCTGGGGAGATTTGCTTGTAATTACTTTCATGCTTTTAATTAATTGTAAGCGAGGTCTCCTTCCCCTCTCCCCGCTCCCCCCTCCGTGCGCAGCTGTTTCCACGTATAATTCATCAGATGAATCAGAGCAGAAATGAGGCTCTGGGAGGCAGGGGTGGTCCCACAGCCCTCCTGCAGCCCGCAGACACCAGGATGAGCCCGGCAGAGCTCCAGAACTGGAGCCACCAGCACCTGTGTAATTAACGGCGTGCCCTTTGTTAGCTGCCTCACTCCCTGCATCCTGCTGAAAGAGGCACTCACAAAGAGCAGCATCCCTCCTGCAAGCGTTAACCTTATTTTGGAGCATGTGGGGTGGCTCTGGGGATGTACCTCGAATGGAGCTGCCCCCGTTGTCCCCAGGAATCCACGCCAGTGTGATGGAGGAGGCCGAGGTCTTGGACACAGTCAGGCGAGGCTGGTCTGGGGGTACTGTGCAGGAGCACAAATGTTTGTGAGCACCACGCACACCCCGACCCCACAGCACGCACCGTGTTCCAGCAGCACCCCTCACCTTGCACCAGCAGGTTGATGATGATGGTGTCGAAGCCCCAGGTGTTGGTGGCAGTGCAGGTGTAGTAGCCAGAGTCCTCTGCCTTCACCGAGCGCAGCACCAGCGTGCCATTGGCCTGAATCAGGCGGTGCCCATCCACTGTCACTGGGATGGCAGAGTCCTCACTGCCAGGGGGAGCAGAACATGTCAGCCCCACAGGACTGCAGCCAGCAGCGGTCCCTGTCCCATGTTACAGCACCCAGTACCTGTCCTTGGTCCACTTGATGGCGGGGACCGGCTCCCCGACCGAGTTGCAGGGCAGCCTCACATCCTTCATCCAGGGGGTGGTGACAGTGCCTCCAAAGGAGATGATCTTGGCTGGAGCTGGGGAGCAAGGAGGAGGTCAGCCTCACTGCTGGCACCCATTGCTGAGCCCAGAGCACTGTCAGAGTGGCCACGCTGAGATGCACTGAGCACGATGGCTCTGGCTTTGCATGTGGCCAACCCTCTGCATGGGACCAGCATGCTTGTCCCACAGAGGCACCCACACATCCCCCATACCTTTCCCAGCAGGCTCGATGGTGACTTTCTCACTGATGTTGCCACGGCCCGCAGAGGTGACAGCAGCCACCCACAGCATGTACTGCTGCCCACGGTTCAGGTGTGCGATGCGGTAGAAGAGCTGATCTGGGCTGGTCTCGTACTCACTGGGGGCCTGCAAGGGGGGGAGGCAGGAGAGGGCACGGCTCTGTTAGAGCCTCATTCACACAGCCCTCATCCTGGGCACACAGACACTTGGAGAACAGCATTAGTACGAGCAAAACAGCACCTGAGCTGTCAGCTGGGAAAATTCATCCTTGGCCATCTGCCTGCATCCAGGCAGCCCCACCAGCATGATACTCAGGGCATCGCTACCAACCAGCATCTCCATGCCCTGGTACTCAGAGCACCACCATCACTCCCATACCCAAGGTATCCTCAAGGCCAGCAGGTTTAAGCCCTGTGTCCATCACTCGGCAGAGAGCTGCACTGCCCCACAGCCCCACTGCCCCACAGCTCCACCCAGCTCTCCAGCAGCACACCTCCTCCAGGTGCTGGCTTCACTCCCCAGCAGCAGCTCTGCTCTGCCCGGTGTTTCTTAATGCCTGTGTAAGCCGGCTGGTGTCGTAATTTCTCCAGGGAGCCCAGGCCAGTGCACGAGGAACAGATGGCAGCGACGGCATGATTTGTTCCAGAGAAATGATGCTTCCTGGCCGCCCCGGGCTGCAGTGGGGCACAGGGTAGGCCCTAGCTGGGGCAGCCAAACCCTTCAGCATGGCGGTGGCAGAGATGGGGTCCCTAAAGTCCCGCAGAGTCTCCAGCACTGCCCGCAGATGTCCCAGCCCCATGGGGTCCCTTCGGCACGCTCTGGCTGCCAGCCCCACAGTGCAGGCACACAACCTCTGCGTGTGTGCCGTGCGTCAAGGCCACATCTCCTGCATACCACACTGGGGAGAGCCATCCTCAAGCACTTCCCCACTGCCTCAACCGTGGCACAAGATGGAGATGCCATCACGAGGGATGGACGTGTTACTTCTGTGTGCACACAGGGCTGCGCGTGGGCATCTGCGCATTCATCGTCTCCAAACATGCACCCTGGTGTGGCCCGCAGATGTGAACGCACCCCACAGGCAGACACCTATATGAATATTGCATGGTATACATAATTTTTTTTAACCAAATGACAGTTTTGACAAGATGCCAGGAAAACAATATCGGATCCCAGCGGTTTTACCAGTTGCTTTGATGAAAAGATTATGTTGCCCTGGAAACCAGAGGCTCAGATAGTGAAATGAGTTTGAGAAGGAGCTTTTGATAAGCACCAGTCTGCAGACCTCCCATCAACCTCTCTCTCACCAAGGAGGGATGGGACCAGGTTGAATTTATGTTTTATTTTTGGTTGTCTGTTTGCATGTTTCCCATTCTGGAGTGAGCGCTGAGATGGGAGAACACTGGAGGGAGGCAGCAGGTGACTCACAGATCACTCCAGGGTGCCCTGGACACCCCTGCACTGCCGCAGGCTGGATGCATGGCACCACCTGCATCATCCTCTTGGCAGCATATGGGGCAGGTTCCCCCCTAACCCTATTTCTGCCTCCATCCTGAAGCTCCATAGCTCCCCAACTCCCACCCCCAGCCCGTTCCCATCGCTGTGCCCTTACCGGTTGCCCGGAGCCGGGGCTGGAGCAGAAGATGGTGTACTTGCGGATGATGCCGTTGGGCTTTGCTGGGGGCAGCCAGGACACCACCACGCTGCTGGCAGAGGATGGCACAGCCTTGATGCCAGCCGGGGGACCTGGAACTGAAGGAGCAGGTGTGTGATGGCACTGACAACACAGGAGGAACATGGGGGCCACTTGTACCAACCCTGTGGCTCATGGTTGTGGCCACTTCCATGCTAGCCCAGACTCCTGCCCACATGGAGGCAGGAGAGTTAATTGCAGCACTGGTTTAGAAACGGTGTTTGGCATTGAGTGGCCATCGCCTTAATCCACTCACTGCCCTCTGGCTTAGCCCTGCCCTGCCCAGCTGTGTGCTGAGCAGCTGCCACTTCCCAGGGCTGCAATGGGCAGAAGCCGCTCTGCTACAGAGATAATGGCATTAAAGTAGGGCAGGCAGGGTGTAAATATTTAAATATCTGCACTTAAGGAAAAGAAAAAAAAAAATAGAAAGGGAAATGCCCTGCGTGCTGCACGCTGGGGGTTCCCCGCACGCCGCAGCTGCCCCCATACATGCACCCAGCCCCTCTGCTTGATGGCCCTTTGGCGCTTTGTGCCTGGATTACTGCGTGCCTATCGGCCTAATCAGCCCAAGAACATATGTCTGCCAAAGGACCTCTGACAGATTGCAGCATGCAGTGCTCCGCAGCTACAGGGAGCACCCTGCCAGTGCTTCCGACCCACAAACCGATTGCCCGTGGAGCTTGGGGTGCATGCACGCCAGCCCCAGGGGCTGCAAGCAAGGGGTGCTGCAAAGGGCAGGAGCTGCAGAGGGTGGGTTGGGCTGGGGCAGCAGCACACGAGCTGTGCTTCGGGCTCAGGCTTTTTGCAAACCCAGCAAGGAGAAAAGGATGGAGAAATCTTGCCCGCCTCCTCCAGGGGCTGCAATGCTCTCCTCATTATTCCTTGCCAATGGCTCTTACTCGACACTCCATGTTCTTATGTCTAATTAACACACGCAACTGTGATTTATCAGTCAGGGAAGGGGGAGGCACACGTGTGCCCACTTGCAGCGTACAGGAGCCACCAGCTGTGCCAGGATCTGTGTGGAACCACACCACCCTGGGTCGCACCACACCTCCTTGGCTGCCATCCCATCATCAGGGACAAAGGGGTTGGCGCAGGGCCACTCACTGTCCTCCTTGGTCTGGATGTAGAGCACGCTGCTGCGGACGCCATCACCAGCCTGTGTGTAGGCCAGCACCTGCACGCTGTAGTTGGTGAACTTCTCCATGCCTCGCAGCTCCACTCTCTCCCGCGTGGTTGTGATGTTCTGCATCTCACCCCACTCTGTAGGGACACGGCCATCAGCTCCGTGCTGCCCCCCACGTATGCTCCACGTCCTGGGCATCGGCACCCACCTCCGTCCATGTAGAGGGACCAGAAGATGACCCGGTAGCCCTTGAGCACACCGTTGAGGGTACTGCGCGGGGGCTCCGACCAGGAGATGACGGCCACGTCCGACGTGATGGAGATGGCCCGCACGTTCTCCGGGGGCTGGCTGGGCACTGGGAGGGCACAGATGGGGATGGTGAACCTACTGTTCACAGATGCATCCCACGGGCTCTGTGTTGGATCTCCCCACCGCCCTCTCTCTCCCCTCCCCAAACCCGGTGCCACGATCCTCCTCCTCTCCTCACCCCAGGGTTGCCAGGATGCCGCACTTCCCAGCAAGGGGCGAGCCGGCTGGATGCGAGGTAATTGCATCCAATTGCCCCATAAGAGGTAACTCTAATTTTTATGAGCATTTAAATGATGATACATCACGGTAACGACCCTCTTTGAAAATGATTATTGTTTCGTATTACTTAGGTGTAAAAATATAAGCACCATGTAATTAGGGACCGCGTATAATAAACTAATACAGATAGTCCGTTTGAACAAAATGAAGGTAATATAATTATGGAAAAGACACTATTGCTAAAACAGGGGCCCTTGAATACCCCAGGAGGAGTGCTAATGTAGCCAGGAAATGATCACAGTTTGACAGGCTAACGAGAGCCTTAATTAAGTATGAAAAACTGCTGCGCGAACGCACTGCAAAACTTTTTCTGCTCATTTCTGGAATGGCAGAGGCTCTCTGGATGGGTGCCGTAGCACCGCCATCCCTCCACCCTTACCATCCTCCAGCGTGGTGGCATTGATCTCGCTGGAGGACGGCCCCGTCCCCGCGCGGTTGAAGGCCTGCACCACCACCCCGTACTGCGCAAACTTCTTCAGGTTGTCCAGCGTGTAGACCTCGCTGTCGCCAGTGGCCTTCATCTCCACGATGCTGTACTGCCCGTTGCTGCCCGGGCTGTTCTCGCGGTAGCCGATCTGGTATCCACGGATCACCCCGTTCTGCAGCTCCTTCTTTGGGGCCTGAAGCAATGGGGACACAAAGGCGAGCGGCGTCACGGAGCTGACAGCCCCGCAGCCTTTAAATCAATCTGAGCAGCGTTTCTCTGAAGCATTAAGAAATCGATAGGGTTGATTGTGAATTTATGTTACACAGCCGGCGCGATCCATCTCGCTGCAACACTCTCCGAACAAACGGAGTTATCCTCCAAGTCAACCTTATCATTCATTAATCCGCTTTCCAGGAGGGGGAGGGGAGTTGGGGGGAGACGCTGAAACCCTACATTTATGGACTTCCCCTTCATTTTGAAGTCCTAATTTTATAATCAATTCTTTTTCTCATTCGACCTCCTGAAAAATAAATCTGATTCTGAACTCGATTGATCTGCGCTTGAGCAGCTGGCAGCCAGACGTCTCAGTTTTCCCATGTTTATCCTCGCTTTCCCCGTGGCCCCCCATGGATATCCTATGAGATAATGAGCTCGTTACCAAACGCGATTAACACGTGATGTGGCTGAGCTGCGTGCCCGGCCCCTGGGTTTTGTGACATCTCAGGAGCTGTTCTCTGAGCTGCGAGGGGAAATGTGGGTCCCAGAGTCCCACCAGTGGGGGTGGCCAAGGAGAGCCCACTGCCCCGGCCCCACGCACCTTCCAGGTGACCTGGATGCTCTGCGATGTCATCGGCTGCAAGGTGACATCCATCGGAGGCCCGTCAGGAGCTGTGGGAGGGAAGAATTACGCATTATCACAAAAAGTCCCATCCGAGAGGGCTCTGCTCACATGCGCCGCCACAGCACAGAGCAGAACCTGCTTCCTCCGTGCTGATGGTGAGCTCCTTGCTGGGCTCGCTGCGCCCGATCTTGTTGAAGGAGTACATGCGGATGCTGTACACGGAAGCAGGGTGCAGGTCCACGATGTTCGCCTGGTTGATGGTCGGGGAGATGTTTCGAGTTGACTGCTTGAAGTCCCAGGAATCTGGAAGAGGAGGCGGAGGGCAGTCAGCACCCACAGCCTGTGCCAGCGTGCGGTCCCCAGAGCTCTCTGCCACGCTGTGTCCCCCCGCCTTGCTGTTGTGCTGCTCTCGGCTTGGCTTTCTGCAAATATTGCCTCTTTAAATATTCCCTTTCAAATGCTCCCACAGAACATAAATTAACATATTTCATTAATGCTGCTCTCTCCTTTCTTCATCAAAGCAGCCGGGATGCAGAATATTCCCTGCATGGAGGCAGCAGGGCCAGCTCCCCACCTGCCCCACAGCACAGCCAAGCCCACAGCACGGGCTGTGGAGGTCTGGGGGGCACAGGGGGGCAATCAGCTCCTACCAGACTTGTTCTTGTACTCGATGTCGAAGCCGGTGATGATGCTGTTCCCATCAAAGCGCTGCGTCCAGCGCAGGTTCATGCTGCGGGCTTTCACCTCACGGATCTCCAGTTCTGGGGGGTCAGGTGGCTCTGGGGGGATGGGGGTGGTTATGAGCGTGGGGTGACAGGCGGAGCAGTGGGACCTTGAGGTGAGGCTCTGCTTGCTCCCGTGCCCAAGGTCATGGTGCTGTGAGCTCAATACCTTGCACGGTGAGCTGGATCAGGCCCCTGTCTTCGCCGTACGAATTGATGGCATGGCAGGAGAAGAAGACTGAATCCCCACGGTCAGCCGGTTTCAGCTGTGGGTATTTTGGGGACAGAAAAGCAGCCCCTTCAGATTTAGGCACCCCAAGAACCAAACTTCCTACAGCCTGCAAACACAGCCTTCCCCCAGGCCCCACCCCCATCTACCACCTGATCTGGAGGGTTGGAACTGGATGATCCTTGAGGTCCCCTTCAACCCAACCAACCCGTGATTCCATGACCGCCTGCTCAGACGTGCATGGAGATTTCACGCTTTGAGGCATCCCTGGTGCTGCAACGCACCTTTCAAACAAGGGCCCATTGAACAGCAAAGCAAAATTTGGTGCAGGGACAACCCAACTCATCGGGTTCCCCTTGTGGGGCCACCCCAGCAGTGGTCGTTTGGCAGCTCTTTCAAAGGTGCTGAATGCAGCAGTTGCACATTCACGGCAGCAGCACAAAATGGCCCGTGCTTGCGGAGCATGCCCAGGCATCCTCGGACCCAGGGACTTCCAGGCCCCTGCCCTCACCTTGAGGGTGGAGATGACCTCGTCGCCGTTGTCCTTGGTGGCGATGGCGTAGCGCATGTTGCGGTCGGGGTCGATGACAGTGTCTCCCTTCTCCCAGCGGATGATGATGGGCCGCTCGCCCCGCGCCGTGCAGTTCAGCTCCTTGCTCTGCCCCTTGATGGCGATGGTGGTGTTGGGGTGCGAGGTGATCATGGCGGGGACTGTGGGAGGGAGCACGGCTCAGCCACCTGCCGGGCACCCCATGCAGCCAGTGGGGCGGCGCTGGGTGCTGAGCCCACCGAGAGGACACGCAGCCCTGAGCGGAAGCGTTTCGCTGCATTATACGGCTCAGGATCATAAAATAATGAAGCAGATAAATTTTATAATGCATAGCATTACACCGGGGTAGACAATAAAACGTGAAAGACAAATAACCAAGCGCACGCTATAATGAAGAGAAAGCCTCCAGTCGGAGACGTGCGAGTATGAATTATTGACTAAGGTTTTACACTCCCGAGGATGAGAGGAAGAATGTTTTCCATCACAGATTTGCATAATTCACTCGTATAAACCTGGGCAGAATATAGAGCGTGATTCCACAGCAGCAAGGCAGCAGCCTTTGCATTGCAGATGCTGGAGAGATTTTTTTTTTCCTTTCCTTTTTTTCTCATATTCATCCAAACATGCAAAGGAGGGGAGGGGACACCTACTGCCCTGGTGTAGCACTCAGTGAGGTGGCACTGTGGAGTGTCATTGCAAATGGCACTACGGGGTGGTACTGTAGAACGGTGGGTGGCCCTGTAGAATGGCACTGTGGTGTGGCATTCTGGGGTGGCACTGCAGTGTGGCATTGCAGGTGGCATTGTGGGGTGGAATTGTGGTGTGGCATTGCAGTATGGCATCGCAGTGTGGTATGACAGGTAGCATTGCAGGGTGGTATTGCAGGGTAGCATTGCAGGGTGGCACTGCAGGGTGGCATTGCGGGTGGCATTGCAGGGTGGCACTGAAGGTTGCATTGGGGGATGGCACTGCAGGGTGTCATCACTGCGTGGCCCCACAGTTGGTGCTGGGAGGTGACACTGCAGGGTGGCACTGTGGGGTGGCACTGCAGGCATCATCACTGTGTGACATTGCAGGTGGCACTGCAGTGTGGCATTGAGGGGTGGCACTGCAGGGTGGCATTGCAGGCGGCATTGCCCAGCACTGCCTGCTGTTGGGAGCACTTGGCGTTGGGTGGCAGAGCTGGGATGGATGCTGGCAGCACAAAGGGCACCTCGTGTCCCCTGCAGCACCAAGGCTGGGGGTGGGGGCGGCCTGGGTAAGCCGAAAAAAATGTAATGCATAAACAAACAGCGCTGCTGAGTCCCGCAGTAATATATGATAATGACAATCCGCAAAGGCAACACACACTGTTATAATGGGACACAAGAGGCTCTAATGAGCTACGACTTCTCGGCTTTCTGTGGCAATGTAATTCAATTAGCAGCTAAGGAAACCTCTCCTCCAGAGCTGCCGCTTGCGGGGTGCAGCCTGTGCCCACGTGGATGGGATGAGGCATGGCCTGGGTTGGGGTCACCTCCTCTGCATGACGACTCCTCGGAAGCCCATGGGAACTCTGCCTGCAGCAGCTCCAGGATGGTACATCACTACAAGCTGATGCAGGGCAGGGAAAAGCCCGACCCATTGGGGTGCATGGGGAGCATGAGGGCAGGGAGTCTTCAGCCAGAGCATGGCCCCGAGGCTCAGAGGGCTGCAGAGGAGCCAGCCCCTTCCCTGCACGCAGTGGCCCCGGGAGAGGAGCTCTGTTTCAGGCTCTGCTTTGCTGAAATGCACTTATTGATGTTTGATTAAAAGCAGCTCCTTGGATGTAAACATATCAACTTCTCTCAATTGCTGGGGTCCCAGGAGAGTGGCACGTAGCCCAGAGCGGAGGAAAGCAGCAAAACAAACCAAAAGAAAACCCCGACCAGCCATGCAGGCAGTATGGGCAGGGCTGGGAGGCACGCTGTGCCACCGCTGCACACCAGCCTGGTGATGCCCACTGTGACCAAGGGAAGGAGGATGCACGTGGCCAGAACTCCTGCAGCCGTCAGCAGCCTTCTGCACAGGGCAGGCTCCTGCACACCCAGAGCTCCTGTTAACACTGCTCCGACAAGAGCCACGTCCCGTTTGCTGGGCAGAGATAAGGCTGTCCACAAAGGGAGCTGTCAGTGCCCCACGTGCCATCCCCAGCCACACTGGGACAGGGGCAGCTGCACAGCTCAGCAGTGACAACTGAATGAGAACGGTGACAGTGGTGAAAAGGGCTGTGCCCGCCTTCCTCTCCCCCCTCTTTCTTGTTTAGAGCCAGCTCTGTGATGTTAATTTGATTGCACCCGTTTCAGCTTCCTTTCTACACTGATTAGCTGAGTTCCACCTGAAGCATGAGATTAATTCAAATTGCATGGAAGCAATCAGTGATGCTCCTGCAGGAGGACACCGAACCTCCCAGCACCTCTGGTCCTGCCCAGTGCCCAGTGAGCCCCAACCACCAGCACTGCCCTGGGGGACTTGGACAGTCCTCATGCTCTGCTCTGGAGCACAGGACAGCGTGCAGGCAGGTGCTAAATGCCATTTAGCACGCACTTCAGAGCCCTTCACCTGCACCTGTGCCAGCCCCGGGCGCACGCTCGCAGCCTCCAGCAGCCCACACCTCTCGCTCTGCAGCGCGCTGGACCTGATGCTAACAAGTTGCTTTGGAAAGCACGGATGAACGCCCTCAGCCCTGCACAGCAGAGGGATGCCGCTGTGCTCAGACAGGTGCTGTGCTCAGGGCTGAGCAGAGCGATGTGGCAGTGAGGTCCCAAGGCCAGCACACGCCCTGGGCACTGTGCTCCCTGCGGTGCCCCAGCTGGGAACAGCACCATCGAAATTCCATTTGCACGCAGGTTTGCCACCACCTGACAAAGCAGCAGCTAACTCCTCCTGGCATCAGTGGGGCCGCTCCTGCTGCTCTGATTTATTGCCTCGGTCAGCGAGGGATGGGGCTGCACTTCCCATCCCGTGGTTTGGGTTCTGCTCAACTCCCACTTAACTCCGTCCGCAGTGGCCTGGCCTGAAGCACAAGCCTGCACTGATCTGGCTTTAATTGGCCTGACATTTCACTAAACAAACAAAAATCAAAAAATGAAACAAAACAAAGAGCCCCATATAATGCTTAATTGGCTGCGGTGCTTCGTCTACCTATTCATTCGAACCTTTTCAAAGGCTGCTGAGGTCTCTGGGAAATGTAAAAGCACATGCATAATAAGGTTATGTGCTATTCAAGTCAGCAAGCAACCTGTCCTGGGATGCAATTATACCAGATAGCAGGGACACGGCAGCAGTTCAGGCTCCAAGACTTCGGCACACTCACTCGGGATTAATCGCCTTGACTTTGTACCTGCACCTCATTGAAGTGGGTTGTTTGAAGTCGCTCATTTCAGTTCATCAATCAGCGGGATAAATTAAACAGCTGACAGGGAGGGGAAAGGCTGCCCTCAGCCCTCCCCACGAGGAGCTGGCTGGGGATGGGGAGAAGCTGGGAAGGCAGCAATAAGACAAGCAGGGGGTGCTGGGGGCCAGCAGGAGCCAAACCGGGGCGCAGGGCAGGTGGGGAGCACAGCATGCTGCATGCCAGCCCCACTGCCATGAGAGAGCTCTCCCTCCTGCACCTCTTCTGAGGGTTTGAACTCTTAAGGCAGCCACAATCGAAATAAATAGAGAGGCGCTGGAGATTATGTATTCTGCTGATAGCAACGGGAGAGGAATCCAATAATAAGCGCAGTTCAAACACGGTGTCTAACAACACTTCCCGGCCCAGCCCTGTCAAATTAGCAGAGCTATTTCCTTTCCTGCCGTATGATGTAGATTGATCGCCGGGTTTTATTAAGGACTAAGTGTTTTTAATAGCATAAGGGAAGTCTCCCCTGTAGGAGGGGAATCAATGCCCTCCATGCCCGCAATGATCCGGGGCTGCGTGATGCTGGGGCTGTGCTGGGCTGCTCTCTGCACGCAGCAGGCTGTGATTCCCCATCCATCCATCTGTCCATCTGTTTTTTATCTGTCTGTCCATCTCAGCCCACCCCCAGCTCCATCCCAGCCGTGACCTGGCTACTTACTCTTCACGGTGAGGAACATGGACTTGCTGATGTCTGTGCCCACCCCGTTGCTGGCCTGGCAGAGGTAGTAGCCAATGTCCTCCTCCAGCACGTGGCGGATCAGCAGCGAGCTGTTGGGGAGGATCTGGATGCGGCCCGTCAGCGGGATGGGGTGGTACTGCTGGGGGTTCCCACTGCCTGGAGGGGGAAGCAGAGATGCATCACTGAGTGCACAGCTGAGACAGGGGGTGCTTGTCGGGCTCAGTGGTGGGGTGACCCAGCAAGAAGGGCACTCGCCCCACTTGCACACAGATCCCCACGTGCTGCTGTGTCCTCTCCCACGTACCTTTGGCATGTTTCCACATCACTTTGGGAGGAGGGTACCCATCAACGGAGCAGTTCAGCACCCCGGCTTTACCATAAATGCCATCTTGGTTGTTGGGTTGAACCACAAACCGAGGAGGCACTGCATAACAGGAAGGAATCACAGAATCACAGAATGGTTGAGGTTGGAGATGACCTCTAAAATCATCTAGTCCAACCATCCACCTACCGTCAATCCCACTAACCACATCCCTCAGTACTACACCTACATGTTTCCTGAGCACCTCCAGGGATGGTGACTCCCCCACCTCCCTGGGCAGCCTGTGCCAGTGCATCACCACTCTCCTAGTGAAGATTTTCCTAATATCCAACCTGAACCTCCCCTGATGCAACTCCAGGCCATCAGCTCTCATCCTATTGCTGTTTTCTGACCCTCACCTTGCTACAACTTCCCTCCAGGGAATTGGAGACAGCAGTGAGGTCCACCTGAGCCTCCTCTTCTTGAAAATTATCTCTGCCTGTTGTTCCCCAGCCTGATTCTGTCTGCTCCCATCCATCCCTCCCACCTTCCCACCCAATGGGGGGACCCCAAAGCTCTCACCCCTCACGATGAGCTGCCGCTCGCGGCTCACTGTGGCAGCGGCGTTGCTGGCGATGCACGTGTAGTTGCCGTTGTGCTTGAGGGAGACACTGGAGATCTGCAGGGAACTCATGAACTCCTTGCTCTCAATGGTGACGCCTGAGCCAGAGAGGATGACGTGCCCGTCCTTGCGCCATGTGATGTGGATAGGCATGTCCCCGGAGGAGACCACGCAGGGGATGTAGAGGAGCTGCCCGATGGAGGCTGGTGGGAACTCGAATGGCTGGATCAGAGGAGGGACTGCGGAGGGGAGAGGCAGAGCATGCTGTACAGCCCAGCTGGGGGAAGCCCTCACCTGTAGGGTTCAGGCCAGCAGAGGGATGAGGGGGATGAGGAAAAGCAGTGTGTCTCTGGCTCCTGGCACTTGTCACAGGCTCGTGCATACCACTGAATCATTAAGGATGGTGAAGACCTCTAACATTAAGTCCAATTCCACCCCACCCCCACCATGCCCATAAACTGGGTCCCTCAGTGCCATACCTCCACGTTTCCTGAGCTCCTCCAGGGGTGGTGACCCCACCACCTCCCTGGGCAGACTGTGCCATCACCTGATTGCTCTTTTGGAGAAGAAATTTCTCCTAATGTCCAAACTGAACCTCCCCTGTCGCAGCGTGAGGCCATCACCTCTCATCTTAGCCCCAGCACCATCCCACAGCAGGACATGGCTTTGCAGAAGGGCAAGCCTGCTTGGGACCAGCACAGCAGTTCATATCCCATTGCCCCATCACCCGAAGCATATGCTGACCAGAAACAGGCAGGCTTTTGTCCACCCATAGCACTTCCAGGAGGGGTGGAAGATGCTACTGAGCAGGTGACAGTATGACGTGACCATACGCAGGGCAGCACAGGGAGCCGCCAGCCCCAGCCCCTCTGTGTGCATCAGCTGAAATTCCACCTCAGCATTTATCTGCTCAGAGAAAAGCAGTTATTAGATGGATGCTTTTCTTGAAGGCTATGGATTCAGAACCAGCCATTATCTTCCTGATAACTTAATTAGGCAACCGCAGCATCTCTGGCAATGTGGGAGGGGGAAGAAAGCAGAGAGAGGGAGACAATTAGCTTAACAAGGCTCAGCACCTGGTAGACGAGATCCTCTTTCCGCAGCCTCCATAATTAAATTAGCAGGCTGCCAATTGTCCCCTCGGCAGAAATAAGATGCCCTCTCATACAGACGTGGAGCCCCGGCAGGCAGGGCTCACCGTGCCACTGTGCACAGCCCCATCCCCACCCCACCCCTCACCCAGCATGCTGCAAGGCTCTCAGTGCTCCAGCAGCACTGCTCAGGGCTCCAGGGACCGTCCAGAACCAGGCTGGCCTCTTTTGGGTGTCCCAGAGCCCAAAGCCCATCCAAGCAGCCGTGAAGGGCAGCAATACGGGTCGGTCGTCACCCCCAAGCCAGGCTGCAGCGACGTGGCTTGAGCTGCTGGAGCCATGGAGCCAGCAGCGCCCGCTTTCCATAATTAATGAATAATTAATTGTGAATGCACTGCAGTCTATTGCAGAGGGCTGGGCTTGTGCGTCTCCAAACACACCCCACAGGCCACTTGTGAGCACACAGCCTCTCGACAGAAGAGCTCTCCCTGTTCCATCTCCCCTTACCCGGAGCCCAAACCTCATCCTTCCTCCCCAAATGATCTTGTGCTGCATGCTCTGTCTGCAGCACTTCCCAGGTTCTCCCACACATGGCACAGCCCTGGCACCACACAGAGCCCCCGCATCACTCAGCACCGTGCTCCCACCGCTTCCTTTGGGCACAGCCAGGCAGCACGGCCCCAAGTGATTAATTAAAACGTTCCAAGATGTCTGCTGCTATATAACGAGCTGCGGGGCACCTCGACAATACAGAGAGCAGAGGATGCAGGAGGCTCCCAGTTGGGACATATGGCTGGGAGCCATGGGAGCAAGCAAGGGCTTGCAAATGGGTGGCGGATAGAGGATGGAGGTGCTGGCGGGAGGGGCCCGTAAAGATTTTACTGCCATTGCTTGGGAAGCCTGCGTAATTCACTGGTGGTACTTAGTGTGGCCGCCAGGCACTTGTGGCAATAAAAGCTTTACGGTGCTCCGTGCCATCCTGCACTCAACACGGTCATATTTATTTACTCTGCTGCTCGGAGTGAACTCCAAAGGTAGCAGAGGGCAGGGCAGCTCAATTCCCCTCTGCACTCTGTCCAATGGGCAGCACGAGCAGCCAGGCTGGGCTGGGTGTAACTCCGTGGAACGAAGGTGGATGGATGGCACTGCGTGGCAGCTCTCAGCCAAGGCAGTAAATCTGGACTCATAGAGGTTTGCACGGCATTCACTTTCCAGGATATATGGATGAACTTCTGCGTCCACCTCCCAGCAATGGGCACAGAGCGAAGTGTGTGACTCAGCATCCCTCTCTGTGAGGATTTTGGTACAAGGGGAGGAACACAAAGGCTGGCTGTGGCCTGCAACGAGGGTGCAAGGGAGATCCATCCCCTTAGCACTGCCCAGAGGTTATCTGCAGCCCACACTTCCGCTAGCAAAGCCTCAGAGAAGAGCATTAGCTAATCAAGTAGTAGCATCTATAATCAGCTTGATGCACTCTCTTGCTAACCTGATTCGTAATAAGAAAATGGTGGATGGGAGGGGAGGGAAGCAGGGGGATCAGCATAAGATCTGGTCCATAAATACCCTGCTCAGTGAGACAGAGGGAAAGACAATTGGCCAGCTCTGTCCCAGCGTGGCTGTGTTTGTCTGAATGATTTACTGCAAACACTGCACTGGCGACGGGCAGAGCCGACCCGACAACTCTGAGGACGGGAGATACGATAGCACTGTGCTCATAACACAATCTCAGCAAGTCACTGGGAGGGAATGCATCCGATTCAATTCATTAGGACTGATAGCTCCCTCAATGGGGCTGAATAATTGATGGCCTGTAGAAGCTTTTAAGATGTTCTGTGCGCTCGGAAGACCGAGAGTATTATTTTTTTAAAAGCTAACACACAGAGAAAAACATCAGTGAAGGTGATCCGAGCAAAGGTTAGATGTTTTAATACACTGTGTTTACACCGTAAATCCTTGCTCCGCTGCGTGTAGCAAGAAATGGAGCTGGTGCAGCAGCAAGCACACAGGTGGGTGAGAGGTGCGATGCAAGCACAGCGTTTGGGCTGCAGGGCATCCCCTGCAATGCCTCTCTGCCTTCGCCCTTCGCAGAGATGGCCCCAGCACCACCTGAATATTTGACCCAGGCCACCTCTGCAGCTCCTTACCTTTCACCGTGACGTGGACGCTCTGGCTGATGGAGAGCTGGGGCTGGATCAGCACGCTGCACAGGTACTCCCCTTCGTCCATGCCTTTCTGGACGTCCATCAGCTTCAGGGTCCCGTTCTCAAAGACCACTTGGCGGTGGTTATCGGGCAGCAGCAAAGAGTCCTTGTACCACTTGATGGAGTAATACGGGTACCCGATCACCCTGCAGTTGATGAAAGTGTCCCTACCCGCGACCGCCGTTATGTTCTTCATCGCCCGGATGCTCGGGGGACCTACATAGTGGGGAGGAAGGAAGAGGCAGGCTAGGTTAATTCCGAAGGGCGGTTTGTTTGCACACAGATCCGCTGCAAATGCTGCTGCTGCCCCTCAGAGGGACACCAGAGGCTGCTGAGAGACACCTGGGGAGTGCTCCCAACCGCCCCAGCTGCTCTGCCAAATGGCCTTGGTGCAGAACTGCACGCAGGGGCCTCCCTTCCATTTGTACATTCATTTATTTTAAACTGAAACAGCCCATTCCGTGCCTCTCACTGGTTGCCTGAGTACTGCCCAAAGCCAGCTCGCCCCCTGTTCCCAGCTGCTCTCACGCTGGCTGGAGGACTGGAGGCATGCTGCAGGTGAGTATTATAACAAGAGGTTTCATGCTTCAGTAATTATATTGTTCTTGTGGCTGTCGTGTAAAATAGCAAACCCATCTGCAGATTAACTCCATCTTGGCTCCTCACCCTAAGTGGTGAGGATGACAGCTTAGCAGACACTCCAGATAAGCCAAGGTTGCCTTTCGTGTGTTTCCTTACATTAAGTCCCACTGCCCCCAGATGGGGGGCACCCATCAGCTGTTGGTAAGGTTTGGGTGGGAGATGCTCTGTCCCCATGGAGCAGGGAGGTGTCTGAGGGCACAGCAGCACGGATTCCCCCCCCCCGGTGCACCATAAGAAGGAGCAGGGAGAGATAAATCAGCATCTGTAACTGTCTCCTGGGCCTGTTGGAGGGACTTGCTCAATTCCAAGGCAAAAAAAAAAAAAAAAAAGCCTGAATCTTATCTAGTGACAGGCAGTCAGGGACCAAAAGAGGGAGAGAAAAAAAAAGAAGACAATGAAACATCCTCATTCAAAACGCTGCAATTGCTTCTCGTGGCTGGGACATGAACTCGCTCCAAATTTAGCAGTAAATGGCAGCAAAATCCAGACTCTCCCGGGATCCCAGCCAAAAAGCCACTAGATCCATTTCAAACCTGAGACACAGACAAACACAGCTCTTCAAGCCTCTTTCTCAGTAGATAAATTAATGTTACCTTGACTCTGCTCTCACCTACGAGCCTAGAAGCTTTAACTGGTGATTATGAATGGGCAGGGGCTTACAGCACACCCCGTGCCCTGCAGAACGCCCTACGACACACAGAACAACGCGCTCCAGTGTGACAACGCAGTGATTCACACAGCTGTGGCTTTAGCAGACAAAGAAAACACAGACACAACACATCCAAGCTCATTTTCCATCATTCCCCGTGCTGCCTCATCATCACTTGTAACGGGATCGGGGCTGGATGGGGTGAGCTGGGGTCCTGGGTTGGTTTGGGTACACATCACTGGTGATTGCAGTGGAATGGACAGCACAGGTCACTTCTGAGCCACCAGAAGGTCCTTCATGGAGGTGCTTGCTGCACAGACCCAACGCTGGGAAGGGTGAAAGCAGAGCCCAGCAGGGAAGTGCCGCCCTTCTGGGAAGTGTTGCTCTGGATGCACACTCAGTTCAGTGCCCCGCTCTGCGCCACGAGGAAGATCCATCCCATGGCTTTGGGGGCCAGCAGGACTGCAGGGGGGTCAGGCATGGAGCATCTGCACAGCTGGGAAAGGGCAGGGGCGAGGAGGAACAGAACACAACCAAAAGCCCAGTAAAAGCCCTATTCTGATATTTAAAAGTAGACAGGCACCTCTTACGTTTATTCGCGCTTGGTATTCGGCGCTGCCCACCGAGTTCCGCGCGGTGCACCGGTACACGCCGCCGTCCTTGATCTGCGGGCTGGTGACGTTCATGTGGCTCACCGTGGTGCCGTCCGACATGGTGTACTGGTTGGTGCGGTGCCCGTTGTCCCGTGGGATGGGCTCGTCGTCCAGGGCCCAGGTCACGGTCGGGGGCGGCGCACCCTTGGCGGCACACATCAGGGAGAACTGCTCCCCGGGGTTCACCACCTTCTCGCTGAAGGAGGAGACGATGCGGGGGGTCCCATCTGGGGGCACCCAGCGGGAGCGGGGTTAGGGCACGGCTGCAGTCACCCGCACGGATGCGCCCGTGCCCCTGCGCCCTGTGCTCCCTCGGCTCAAAGGGTGCCCATCCCAGCTCCAACACCCAAGGATCGCCATCCCGTTGTCACAGAAAGGGCAAGAAGATGCCTTGTGGAAGGCAGGGTGCCCACCCTGCTGGCACTCGCTTCCCTCTCTCCTTGCATAAAGCATCCAGGGATGAGGCAGCTTGGAAAGGGGCAGAGAAAAAGCCACCACCAACCCCAGCCCCGAGGAAGCCAGCTCACCCTCCAGCATGATGATGGAGAAGTCCTGTGCTGTCTGGGACTTGCGGGTGGCAAAGCACTGGTAGGCTCCAGAGTGGCTCTTTTGTGCTGCTGTGATGAGGAGGGTTTCATTGCTGATGCCCCGGATGGAGATGAAGTCATCCACCACCACCAGGTCTGTGTTGCGGTACCAGCGGATGACGTACTCAGGGGACCCACTGAGGGCACAAGAGAGGATGACGGTGCTGCCGATGCCCGTCTTGAGCTTCTTTGGTGTGAGGGTCACACGCAGAGGGTCTGTGCGAGAGAGCAGGTGACACGCTGGGGATGCTGAGCAGCAGGTGCCTCTGTTGCCTTTCCATCTCTGGAATCACCAGCCTACATGCACAGTGTCACCACGTAGCTAGGGGTGGCAACCCTGTCCTCCCTCATGCTGCTTAACGGGTGTTAATGTTGGGGTGGCAGCAGGGACGTGGCTCTGTGATGGGACAGAGCCGAGTGGAGATGTGCCAGGGCAGCCCGGGTGCTGCTGGTGGCTGCAGGAACCCCCAGGAGCGGAATGGGCAGTAAATATTTGGCCTGCCCAGATGGTATTTACTGTTTGGCTGGAGCTTATTTTATGTAAATCAGCAAAACAAAGCACAGAGGCACCTCGCAGAACATTGCCATCCAGCAATTTACATCCCGTGGTATTGCACTGCTTTTTCCAGAGGTCCCGATTAAAGCGGTAAATCAGGGGATGGCTGCAGATCTGCTGCAGCAGCATTACAAACTCCCCCCGAACGCCCCGAGCACCACATCGAACACGCTGCGTAGAGAGGCACGCACGCAAAATACAAAGCTTTACGGTTTCCAAGAGATGGGCAGGAGGCAGCTCTCCCCTCCACCACTCACCGATGACCGTGAGGGTCCCCGTGACCTCTGCAGACCCGAAGGTGTTGGTCACCTCACAGATGTAGGTCCCGCTGTCCTCCACGCGCAGGTCGGCGATGCTCAGCCCCGTGATGCGTTTGGCCCAGCGGCCGTCAGCAGGCAGCGGGCGCCCGTCCTTGAGCCAGCGGATGGCAGGGTTGGGGTATCCCGAAGCGATGCAGGGCAGCTCCACCAGCCGGCCTGCGCGCACCTCCCGTGACTGGAAGCTGTCTAGCATGGTGGGGATGGACTCAGCTGGGTCTGCGTTCGGAGAGGAAATCAACTCACCCAGAGAAAAGAGGGGAGATGTGCTCCTGCTCCCGGCCAGTGTGGAGAGCTGGGCTCTGAGCTGATGGGGACGCAGGGAGCAGTGGGGCAATGCTGTGTCACCCGGTGGAACCTCCCCAGGGAGCCTCACCCGAGCGGCTGCGGGATGGATAAACTCAGTACTGTAGGAATTACTCAAGGTGACACCTAATTGGTGCAAAATACACAAATTCTGTGGCACATTTCAAAATTTACAAGCAAAAGGGGCCCATCAGGCAGCTGGGAAAGGAGAAAATTAATCACCAAGTCTCAGGCGTGAAATTAAATTCCAGGGGAAAGAAACCTCTTTCATTACTCCCAAGCAGAAGTAAAACGCTGTGACGTGTAAATAATGACAGCGACCAGGAGGGGACAGAGGCACATCGAATGCAAAGGGAGAGGGAGCCGGGTGCCCTGTGGCTGCCCACGCTTCTCTCTGGGATCCAACAGGGCCGGGTCGAGGAATCTCAGCCATTCCCAACCCCATCCCAACCCCTCTGCAGGGGTTAATTCAAGGAGTTAGCACGGGAACCGTGCACACGAGGCTAGAAAAACCATATGGCAGAGCGCGGGCGAGCTGCAGCTGACGAGCGGGAGAGACAATGCAGCTCCCGAGCAGAGTAATTTGGGCAGTGAGCGGAGCCGGGAGCGCCCGGAGCCAGCCGGCACTACGGACTGCGCCGCTCGGCCGCAGTATCGCTTGCTTCTTCGTCACATCGCGTCAGGCTGCTCACATCGCCGGCTGTCACATCGCATCGCCGCGCGCCCCGTCGCCTCCTGCTCAGGGTGCTGCATGGCACGGCTGCCCACCGCTGGGCACTGGGGCACGGCATGGACCCCCCGTGTCCTTGCACGCCCCCTGGGACATGGACAGGGGTGCACCCAGAGTGGGGCCCGCAGGCTGGGTGTTGCCCCCAGGGCTGGATGGGACTGGGCACATGGCTGGCACACCTCGGGAGCCTCGTGCTCACCTGACACCGAGAGCCTGGCCCCGTTGCTCTGCCGCGTCTCCCCGCTGTACTTGTGCTTGGTGATACACCTGTAGGTGGACAAGGCATCTTCCTTCTGCACGTCCGATATGTACAAACCTCCATAAGAAGTAATAAAAAACCTATTTTCTGGAGACACAAAGAGGAAAGGGAGGAAAAGGGTGAGTGTGTCCTCGCACCACGTGCTCTTCTCCTGTACACAACCCCTGCTCGCGGGGTCGGCATCACCAGGGCTGCAGTTTGGGTAGGTTGGCAAGGATGAGTGCTGCACATGGGTGTGCAACAGCAGCCCACATGTCCCTGGGCACTGCACTCCCCCAGAGCATCGCTCATGCTGTGGCACACATCCTGCCCACGCACTGAGGTATGTGGGCTGTCCTTGCAGCCTGCCTGCAGCCCATGGTCCCAATGCCAGTGGCCAGCTGCACAGTGCTGGCTGTGCAGGATGCTGCAGGGCACAGCCCTAGGCTCGCAGTGATTCCGTGGCTGCAGTTGAAGAAGGGAGCACAGGCAACGAAGCCCATCTTGGTGTGCTGCATAGCAACGCTGCAATTAAAAGTGAATCCGTCCTGCTGAGTTAATAATTAGCTTAACTTACTTAGAAGCATGTGAAAACAAATAAGGGCTTGAGTTGATAGTGGAGCACCGGGGGAAGATTGCCGAGGCCACCGGGTGGCACAGCACAGCCCTGTGGCACTGCCTGGCTGCCTTTAGGTAAGCCCAGGCACGTGGGAAAGGCACGAAAAGCAAACCACCAGAACAGCCTCTGGAGAGGATGGCAGAACTTCTCCCTGCCCCCAATAGCAGCACTGGAGGCTGCAGATTGACACAAAGCAGTTCTGCACCCAGGAACTGGAGTGCGTGCATCACAAAAGCCAGGTGGAGGGCAGCCCTGACCCTGCTGGCACTGCCTCAAATCCCACTGTAGCTCAGCTGGACAGGTGAGTTTGACTCTAATTGAGAGTATTTGGGACTCCAGACAGAGGAAATAGAAGCCTCACTAAGATGCAAGTCAAGCTGTGGTTTAATGGAAGGCACAGGCAGGAGAAACTTGAGCATCCCAAGAGCCCAGGACAGGACTGGAGGGGTCGGTGCCCCACACCATCAGTTGTGGCACTTAGAGCTTCATGCAAACCTCTGTAAAAGGGAAGGGGGAGCAGTCCTGCAAACGCAGCTGAAATAACATGCAAATCAAGCATTAATTTTTCATCTCCCATCAAACCAGTAAGCAGAGAGCTTTGGCTGCACTGGAATTTGAGAAGGGGGGAGTCGGTTTCTATGGTAACAGCTGCTGCATTTTGCAAAGTGCTCCGCAGCCCCAGCTGGCCTCCCCCACAGCGTGCACTTCTGTGCATGCCTAACTGCAGCCCTGCTGCCAGGCGCGCTCACAAGTGCTCTGGAAACAAAGACTTGGAGAGCAGCAGCAATGTGCAGGGACCCAGGAGCAGCAGCAGCACCACAGGGACCTCGTGCCACCTTGGACTCTTGGCTCCTGGAGCTCGCCAGCATGCACAGATCTAGATGAAGCTCGTGAGTTGGGTAACAGCCAGACAGAAGTGCGGCTTTAAAGATGCCATGGCATTAAATGTAAGGTCTACACAACCTGACAGCACAGCCTCAATTCTTTTTTTTTTGTTTTTTTTTCTTCCCAACGAGGGACAAATAACTTGGTTGAGGAGCACTGCATTGGTTCAAGGGAAAGATGCAGGGCAATAATTGATGTAAGCAGGTCTGACGGAGACCTCACCGGAGTGACTTATGGCTCAGTTAGCCAGCGAGATTAACGTCGAAGGTCGCCGAGCAAAATCAGATCTTTCTGCCTGCCAGGAGGTGGAAAAGCTTTACAGGATGCAGAGGATTAAGTACATCCACAGCCAGGCTGGAGCTGTGTGCCTCTAATAACTCTTTCAGCCAGATCTCAGCTGCTTCTGTGGCAAAAGCTTTGCAGTACCCTTCTCCCCTCTCCCTGTTGTGGGGTGCCCATCAAGAGAGCTCATCAGCAGGTGAGGTACCCATTGCCAAGGCATCCATCACCAAGGTATCCATCACTAAGGTACCCATCATTGAGGAATCATCACCAGAGTACCCGTCACCAAGGAACCCATCACCAAAGCACACATCACGGAGGCACCCATCACTGAGGCACCCATCACCAGGAAAAAGTGGTGCTCTCCTGCGTGCAGAACATTAGGAGGATCTCCCCCTGTACACACACACATCCCTGTGCATTCTGTTACTGAAATCCCATCCCCATCCAGCAGCCTGCAGTGACCATGATGCTCGAACATCAGTCCCAAGGGCCTTCCAATTCCAAGAGAAAAATTACAGTCGATACAGGTTACCAGTTACCACTCCATCCAATATAGATTTATAAAAACAATGGGGTCAGGGCTTCAGGAGAGAGCACATTTTATAGTTCATGAGACTAATGAGATAACTTTCCCTTGGTACTCTGGGGCCAATATTTCCTTACGCAGTCTATTTTAACTGCTGGAGAATCAATAGGTGCCAGCATTTATGAATTAGCCATACTTGGAGCATATGCAACCCAAGGCATCCCGGACAAATTCAATAAATGTTTGGTGCTATTTGTGGCCACGTTTAAAGTGACAAATGCCTCCCTTGGGTGAAAGGCATGGAGAGGGAAGCCCCAAAGTACACAGCCCGTGGTTTCTCTGCGTGGGAATGAGAAGCCTCCCAAACACCATTCACCAAAGGGAGCCAGGAGGGACTCCTGGTCCACTCCATGTTCCCCAGACCAGGGCTGGTGCCACGGCACCACACGTCCCTTTATCCCAATGCCTGACCTCGGGGTCACTGCTTAGCAAATACCCAAAGCGGAGGGCGCCCGGATTAGGCGCGAAGATTAAAGATCCATCCATCCATCCCAGAGATGGTAAATAGGAGCCGCGACTCGAGCCCAATGCAAATTTAATAAGAGCTGCACGATATCTGACAGATTTATTTACATGTTTCCCTGCACACAGGATCCCAGGGGACGTGTAAGGCAGTCGCAGGCTCCCCAGCCCTTTCAAAGGAAACACGTTTCTCCTACGTAGCCAATGCAAAGCTGAGCAGCCCAGCACCCAGCACAGCGCTTCCACCTTGAAGTTCCGTGGGCATCTGTAAAATCACCGACTCCAGCTGAGTAAGTGGGTCACGCTTTGCACCAAAAGGCTCCCTGCCTTCTTTCTCCTCCTCCTCAATCCGGGAGGAACGGGGCTTTGCTGGAACGAGAATACCGTGTCCTAGAAATGTCGCTTTGGGGAGGCTGAGGCACTGCACCCCAGCTTTGCTGCATCCCAGGCACTGCGGTGGGGTGGCGGCAGCTTCCAGAACGGTTCCCCCAAGAGGAAGGTGGAGGGGATACTGGCACGAGGGCGCAGCCCTGCAGCCAGCTCTGTGTGTGCTCACCAGTGCCCAGTGCGGTGCCAGCTGCCAGCCGGCGCACAAGAGCCGGAGCGCACGTTGAGCTTTGTGCAAAAGCCCTAAAAACCCCTCCCAGACAGCTGCGGAGCATCACCAGGACCTCCCCTTGCAGACCTAAATTTAATCCCTCCCCACGCTCATTCCTGGCCAGAGCACCACAGAAGCACTGAATCACAGCAGCATGCAAGGCCACCCCAAAATCTACGCTCCCCCGCCAGGCTGAGACCCACACAGCAGAGATGGAAGAAGTCGGGGAGTCACGGCAAGCTGCCCACCTCCCCCTCCCCTTAATCTCCTTTATAAGCATGGCTCTATCTCCTCCTGTTACAGGATTAACACCCATCTCTCATTCTCCTCTTGCAACAAGATTTTATTTCTAATTACGCTGTAATAAAACTGGGCGCGCTCCCAGGGTTGCTTCCAAATGACTTGTAGACACTCGGCGAGATTGGATCCTACTCGGGCCCATTGTCAGCGCGCCTGCCTGACATTCATTAGACATGCATGAGGGAGATGTTTTAAGAATGGAATTGCATTTAAATGGGCTTTCTGAGAAGGAGAGATGAAACAAAAAAAGCGAGGCAGAGGGAGAAAAAGAAGCTGAAGCGGCTGAGGAGCGGATGTAATTGTCAGCACGCTGTCACACAGCTGCCCTGCTCCCGGTGGCACAGGAGGGGCCGAGGGGCCAAAGGGCCAGGGTCTGGCACTAATCCCCCAATAAACCCCATCCCGTGCCCTCCAGAGCTGCAGTACAACAGCAGATAATTTTCTGCTGAATTACCTCTTAATGCGGTACAGAATTACCTGCAGGATGGCGGGTTGCAGGGGACAAGTGAATAAAAACCAAAGGAAACGTCCTGGTTTTCCCCAGCCTTGTGTTTGGTTCTGACCACCGGATTTACAGCCGGGGGGCGGCAGTGTGGGAACAGCCCCTGCAAAACGACAGAGCTGGGCTCTGCATGACGGGGCTGTGCACTGCATGATGGAGCAAAGCACTGTGCAACGGAGCTGCGCACTGTGCAATAGAGCTGTGCACTGCGTGCTGGAGCTGTGCATGGTACGATGGAGCTGTGCACTGTATGATGGAACTATGCCCTATATGATAGAGCTCTGCGCTGTACAACAGAGCTGCGTACTGTACGTTGGAGCTCTGCACTGTGTGATGCAACTGTGCACTGTGTAACTGAGCTGCACGCTGTACAATAGAGCTGTGCACTGTATGATGGAGCACTGCACTGCATACCGGAGCTGCTCACTGTGTGGTGGAGCTGTACCATGGAGCTGCGCACAAGGGAGATAAACTGCTTGCAGACACCCAAATTCAAGGGATCAAAAGTTGAGGAATGAATGACTCAGCTCACAGGGAAGCTGACGGGTGAGAGCCACTGTGCTGAAGCTCCCACACGCCATAGCCCAGCTCTCCCTGCCCCACATTTCCTCCTCTTTCCTGGAATCTTACAGGCCAGGTAACAGTCAGCATCTACATCATTCTACTACTGGTGCCACAGGCTTGCCTTCTGCGTTTCTTTCTCTTCGGGCAACGGAGGCACAAGGAGAAGTTTGGGTTTTGTGCACAGGAAGCTTTTTAACAAAAGAGCAAAAGGCTGCAGTTTGTAGCTGCAACCACAGTCCCAGTAGGAGCTTAAGGAAATCATCACAGAAATGCTAATTTCATTTAACACCAGAAAATGAAAAATGCT